AATGGATATTGTTTCTTATGAAATCGCATATGTATATTAAAGTTAGCTAATCCAATACAACGTTTCTCACAGTATTCACAAGTAAATTCCGGATAGGTGTCACATGTTGGGCGCTTTAAGTGACTTTCGTATTTTGCAATTTGATTGAATATTCTCTCACATTTTGGGCACTTAAGAAGTGCGTCTACCTTATGTTTACGATGACGATGCGTATACAATAAATCTTTTTTAAAACATTCAAAGTCACATTTATCGCATTTAAATGGTCCAGTGTCGATCTTCTTTCGACCACGTTTTGTCTCTGCTGCTTTCTCTTCAATAATAATAGGCATTTCTCCGCTTTCATCAACAATATTATGTTCGTCTAGTTTTAGAATATTATCATCATTTAACTGATTTAACTCCCCAATATCATTTAATCTTTCCACATATATTACTTTATCATTCCCCAAATCAATGCGATATTCAACATCGTTTGTTGAATCCGGGAGCAAGTAATTATCATCAAAATCCAATTGCAAAATATTTCCTATAAACATTTAAACCGATGATATATCAATGCATTTAGTAACTTTTTATTTTTTAAGACAATATTTTTAATATATTTTGGGAGGTCTGGAAAAGTATGGAATACTAAAGAAATACATAAATTCCATAATTTGAAAATTTCAAATGTATTTATCGGTGTTTTAATTTAAATTTTTTTCTTTAGCATAAAGAAAAACATTAAAAGATAGAGAAACAATATTGTATTTTGAATGATATTGTTATTGCATTAATCAATTAATATATGACTAATTCAGTTCGATAACTTAAGACAATTTATTAAACATACCCACAATCACATTCTCATTGAGCTTTTGCTACTCATGTTATAAAAATTTCAATAAGCCCTTTTCGCAGGTTTTTACGGAATACAACACTTTACACTATTAAGAGTTTTAAATAAATTAAAACAAATAGCATTCAGATAAAGCAAGATATAGTCTACATAATTACTACGACAAAACTTTGCGACTGTTTATTTTACTTTTGCTGGGTTCGTAAAGAAAGACAATACCCTCAATGTTGATATATTTTGGTCACTTTTCCCGACTTGCGTTATCTAATTTATTTATCTGTTACATAGTGACAAGTTGCATAGATCTATAATCTAAAGCCTCACTAAATACACTTAGCATAGCTTTACTTGGAGCAATCCTTTTTTGCACTATCAAATTTTCCAAAATTAGTCGACTTCGTATTGTTATACCAAAGATCCGGCCAAATTATGTGGAAATTTTTTTTGGCATAATGCTGGCCTTTTCCAAATTCAAAATCCTTAGCAATTATATGCTCGATTATGTGTTGATTTTCTGTATTTTGTATTACCGCAAAATAGACTGTTTGCGTGTATAATTGTACATCGTATCGTCACTCCGAATGAGTAAGAGTCCTGTATTTTTGATTTTATAGATACTATATAGATTCCTTCCAATGATATCGTACTTTTCGGAAAGTATATGACGCTTGCAGAATTCGTGTTTATTTTTACAGCTTTGTAAAAGCAGTCATTTGGTGAAAACTATACGATAGAATTATATTTATTTTTTTTTATTAAAATGCAATTAACTCGCTTGTTTCGCTCTTCTTCTAGATACGCCACTACATACTGACAATCAACATATATCTTCAGAAATATAAGAAGATTTTAATATGTTGGTTGTTTTGTGCAAAGCATAACATATTGTACAAAAATAACATATTTTATTTATTTTTATTATTGTTAGTAAATTTTTTAATAAGCATTTTTAAGGTCCATACCGATATTTTGATGACAACATCGATGGAAAAAAATCTATCCTGACTCTTGTGTTTATATCACTGATATATGAGGTATGTATACGTTTTAATAATTCCGCTGTTAACATTCGTTCTTAAAAAGTTTGTTAAGAAATGCCTTTGTTTTTGAAATTAATAGATGTTATTGCGTACATTGACCATCTCTAGAATAAACAATATGTATATACCTATCTTTATACAGATTCAAATTCTTTCGTTATCTACTTCACTGCGTTACAACATCGTGGCTATACTATTCTCAAATATCGTGGCAAAGAACATTAAACGCTTTGCAAGACTATGACTAATCTACTCAAACCCTTTTGCAAAACGTTATTTTTTTTTAATGAAACCTGTTAACAGGATGTAGTTTTCGACGAATGAACTTTACAGAGCCCCTTTTTCTCTCATGTCTATTTTATCTGGAGTTTTGTAATTTATAAAAAAGCTTTTTACTAGTTTCGTATGTTTAGCTTTTAATTTATAGAAAATCTTAATCGTATTTCTGGAATCAATTCTGATAATGATGAAAAATGTGACGCAGATGAATACAGTTTTGGCGATGAAAACGCTGTGACATGTGTTAAAATCTGAAAAATATGACAACTTTTCATAATACTTTGCTGTGGGCTATAACAACCAGCGATAGTATTGAATCGTTCTACCCAATAATTTCTATAATTTTGCGTCGTATTCCTAACTTTGAACTGACTGACACTTAACACTTGTTTCGATCTGTAACTTCTATTCCAAATTTTTTAATAATTTTACATATAATACATCTCATATGATTTTTTTAGGGAATCCTTTCATATACTTTGTCATTGAAGTTCCTGACTTAAGAGTCTGTCTACTGTTTATTTTTAAATGTTCTTCAATAATCAAATAATAATATTCTTATTATATGTGTTCTCAAACAAGTATTCTTTTTTGATCGTATTAGTTTCCTTACAACCACTTAATACAAATAAGATTTGTTTGTTCTTTATTATTGAATACATTTTGCATATTTCTTTTTACAATTTAAACATTTCCATTGTTTAATAGTTGAGAGATATTAACAATAATTTAACAAAATAACCAGCTCGCGTGTTTGATTGTCACAACAAAAATCTATATTTACAGTTTAATGTCTGCATTATTGTTATTGGAGTAATTTAACAATTTATTATATAGTAAATAATAATTCACATTATTTTCACATGTAGTATATAATTAGACATTCATGTTATTTGACCTAGCGTAACGTGGTGTCTCTTATGTTTACAACGTGGCGAATGAAACTAGAATTTCATCTTTGTTTGCAACTGGGCAACGTGTGAAATAAAAGAGATTATTCACTGCTCGAACCAAGACTGGATTTATTTAATGATAATTTACACTATTTATTTAAAATTATTGACTAATATTAATCGGTCTAGATAACATGCATTATTAACATCCATTATTTTTATGTACAAACTGCTTGATATACACTTAAACATTAATTAATTTGGGTACACGTAAATAAAATTATAACGCAGTTTACGCGTTATTTGATATCCTTATTTATTTATTTATTTGTGTGTTAACACTAAAATTAATTTTAAAGTTAACTAAGAATAAGGAATTAGACTACTTCTAGGTCCTTCGTCTTTAATGTCCTTATTATTTCTTTGCTCCATATGCAAAGTGTGTGACCACTGCAGAAGGCAGAGGTTTTTATTTGGTAAGTTCTGATGACATGTATTTCTATATCTCCATATTATTTACAAGAAGATTAGTTAGGTACATGTTAATATGTAAATACACTACATTATTTTATACTTATTGCACAGTATCTCTTAAGTTTTAGTGTTTATTATCTAGTTAATTTTTTTGTAAATTCAGACAATTAGTCAATTTATAAAATCTATGTACATAAAAAAATATGTTACAATCGAATATAAATGTTATAAAGCAATACTTAAAAGTTTCACAAAATCAGCGGAAGAATTTATGTATTTGCCATATGATCTATATTTTAACTACGAATACATTTTTCTTTTAAATTCTATAAAGAGACCGTAACAGTTATCATTTGAAAAAAAAACATAAAAATCACCTTGTAACTGTTTTCATTCGCATTTTAAAATAAAAAAAATAATTATATTTGCCTTATATTATATTTATCAAAAATATTTATTACCATATGCCTTTTATTTTTTCACGCAGAAATGACTCTTACGCTCTCCTTTTTTTTTTAAATGCTATTTTTTATTTTAAAAAATAACTCACTGGCCTGTCTGATATGTTTAAAAACGAAAATGTAAAAGGCATTTTTCATATGAGGTAGTTGTTTTTGTAATTTCAAACATAATGTTTTTAAGAGTTTTTTTCTGCGTGAAAAAATAAAAGGCATATGATAATAATTATTTTTGAGGAATATAATATAAAGCAAATTAATTAATTTTTTTTTAAACGCTCATATATAAAAGCATGCATAATATTAAGAATGAAAGTTGTTAGAATGATAACTATATATTTAAATATGAGTTTAGACAACTTTTTGTTGTTGCTTTTTTTCTTAAAAATTGTTTGAAATAACTGTTATTTTCGGTCCCTGATTCTATCACATTACATACTTCCCATGCCAATTATATACAAAATGGAAACAGTATCATATTACTTCCGTATTATTAACATTTTTCTCTTTAGTTAGTTAAAATTAAATTTTTGCATTGTAAATTTGTAAAATTAATATAAACTAACATAACTATCAAAATATATACACAATTTAGAGCATTCAAGGACTTAGTTTAATATGGAGCATAAATAACGTTATATACATAAGAATTCTAAATTTTGAGGTTTTGTATAAGTTCTTTAAGTCATACTAAACTAAAATTGAATTCATTAAAATTTAACAGTACGTTAAAAGAGTTATTATTGCAAGTCAAAATTAATTAATCATAATATTTATAATTACTAAAAAATAATCAAATATAAAATTTTTGCTATTGCGGTAAGCATTTCATGCCCTCTTTAGACAATCCTGTTAAATATCAATATATATAAAAAATAGTAAGGTTTTAGAATTGTACAAAAAATACTATTGGCATATATATCTCAAAAGTTTAAACACTAATTTACACACTTAAATTAGTACAAGTATTGAGTGCTATACATAGTTAATCTGCTATAATATTTAACATATAACATAGTGATTTTTATAGTTCGATGTATTTATTTACACCACTGATTAAAACAAATAAATAATTGTATATAAATAAGACATATACTTAAAATAAATAATAATAACTATACTATTACAAAAAAAAGTCAACAATTAAATTGCATCTATTTGGTCTTGCTTTAGTTTAACAGTATTTAATTTTGAGCGCATAACATGGAATTTACGCATTTTTTCTAATTGTTCTGAATCCATTTCAAGACCGTGTTTACGACGAATATGGACTTTGAGCCTAAAAAAAAGGAACCAAATCAATTATTTTATTTTTAAATTCAAATTGAGTACTTACTTAGCTTTGGACGGATAACCATTTCCACACATTTCACAATCGAATGGCATTTTGCCATGAGTGAATTCATGACATCTCAGCGAGGCAGAAGAAGTGAATACACGTCCACAAACTCCACAATAAAAACGTAAGTTGTTGTGGTGAATATTTATATGCGTGTTTAAATGACAAACTTGAGCAAATTTTTTAGGACACAAATCACAGTGAAATGGAAAGTCACCATTATGGAAGCGCATATGTATTTCTAGTCCCTTACGTATAGCGTATACTTTACCACAGATTTCACAGGGAAAACCTGTTTTTTGATGTGTAGTTTTGATATGCACATCCATAGCTTGCTTGCTAGTATATAAGCGACCACAAATTTCACAATTAAATGTGGCACGATTATTTGGTTCATGTATGACACGGTGTATTTGCATGCGTGAATGATTAGGAAAACTTTTCCCACAATAAGAACAACTGTACTGGCCATTAAAACGTTTACGCTTAACAATTCCAGCTTTATTTGACTTTTCTACCACTCGTTTAGTAGTTTGATACAAATTACCAGACGGCTCTATTTCCGAGCTCATTTCATTTCCAGTATATTCTTCTATAGATACTACTGAATTACCTATATTATGAAGATATTCACATTGCTCATATTCATCACTATCGCTTATGTCAATACTGTCAACAGCATCGTGTCCTACTTGCGTCTTTAATACTGGACTCTCTCCAGCAAGTTGTATTAAAATGGAATCGTCACTTTTTTTCACTTGTATTGTTTCCATTTCTGTTATAAGTACAATTTTTTTATATTAATGTTTCATTTTAGATATGTTTTTGTATGTTTCGGATGTAATATTTTCGATTAACTTTAAAATTTTAAAAAATTTACAATATACAAAAATTTGTATTATCAAACAGAAATAGGAAACATTACAAATTATTATTTATTATTATTTAACACAATTTTATTTTTTATTCACCACTTAAGTTCACTTTTAAAATTTTAAAGTTAATTTGGTCAGAAACATGATATAACTGAACTCTGTTTAGTTACATCACTGTTTATTATTATTATATTTATAATAATAAACACTGTTTTATTATTAATGTAAAACCCAAACTTATACATACAGTGTATATCAAATATAGATTTAATTCACATTTGCTCTCAATGCTTGAAAAATAAACAGACTTCGATTATAACGATGATTCCAGGAAATCACTCATGGTCCCTAAAAATTGGTTAAATTCTTTGTTTTGTACAGAACTTATATTTTTTAGATTTCCTAGCATGTTTACACTACGTTACGCTTGCACTGATCAATTACAAGCTATATGTAATGTAAAAGACAGATCAAAAAAAATAAATTAAAAATTCTTAACTTTAAGTTACATAAAGCTGGAATAGTTTAATTAATGTCTGAAATTAATTTTGAGACAAATCACTTTTAGTGATGATTGAAGTTTGCTGGTTTTTAAACCACTTATTTCATATATTACTACATTCTCATAATATATCCTAATTAGCAAAATCCTTATTAATTTTGCAAAATATATAAACTGATTAGTACAATATTCTTTTTTTTAAAGAAAAGTTTATTATCAACGACATTCCTTACTACATTCCTTGTCGGACTAGTAAAGTTATATTACTCGGACTAATAATTGATATTAATATAAATGTCTGTTGACCATTTTGCAAAATAATATACATGACTCCATATAAATAAAGAGTTATTTAAATAATTAAAATTAATTAAATAATTAAGAAAATGTATATTTAATCCGAATGCAAAAACTGACTGGAGACTTATAATGGTAATCAATATAACTACAGTCAAACTTTCATAACTCGAACTAAAAAGAGTACAACAGCGTCTTAGAGAGCAAATTACATACAATTCTGCTTCTATAACTCGTACTTCCATAATTCGAATTTCTCTATAACTTGAATAAAAATATTATCACCTGCCAATAGAAATATGAGTAAGTCCATTCTATAAGTCGAATTTTTGTTTTAAGTATGAATCCATATGTTTCTTTGTACAAATGCCAGTCGTTGATTGATCAGAGAGTAATTCAAAATTTTAAGAGTAACTATAGCAACAGAATCGTAAAAGAATCACTAAAGCGTATAGAAGTAAACAAAAAGTAGCAGTGGTTTAAGTAAATTTAATAACTTCAATGCTACTCTTAACGATTATACTGAGCTTGACAATGAAATTTGTACATCAAGCTTTCCTACAGATGACGATATTATTAAGCATTATATATAGCTCTGAATTAGTGGATCTAACTCTAAGCTTAACGGAAAGTGATAATGAGGGTGGATAAAATTATTCATCAGCCTTCCAAGAATGAAGTAGAAAACTCATTCGAAATTCTGATGATCACTATAAGGCTTGGAATAAAATGGTTTTCTTTTTACTGAAAATAAGAAAAAGAAATAAAAATCCTAAATCCTTATTTCTGAATATTTGAATATTTCACTATAACTTTTGCTCTTTATTTGATTTTAAATAAATAAACATCTTAAAATGTAATTCTAGTTTCTTTCAAAAAAGAAAAAAAATAAATAAAAAAGTCTCTAACTCGAAGTCTCCATAAGTCGAACCTTCTCTTTGCAAAATGGTACTTCGATTTATGGAACTTTGAGTGTATATACATTTACTGTTTTTTTCTAATTTCATTAGTGATATTCAGACGTGTTTGTTAACTAAGTAAAGTAATAAAATCTCAAGTTAATAATTTTAATCCAATAATTTTTTCGCTATATGGTAAAAAAATTCGTTAATTCCTTTCATTATGAAATATTGCAGAAAACATGAATGTAATTTGAAATTTAATGTGATTGTATAAATAATAATAAATATTTTTAGATATCATAAATTAATGACAATTGTAAGTGTTATTTTACGTTTTTTTTGCCATTCTTTTGCCTTTAAGGTAAGACAAACCCAGCTAAAACAAAATCAGAGGTTTAATTTTACAACTGTACTAAGAAAAAACAACAAAAAAATTATAAGAATTACATGACAGATAACTGTTATATATCAGGAAGATCAAAGTTATTCCATATCATTTAATTATTTTTTATGAAGTTCATGTATTGCTAATATAAATGTTAGTCACAGTTTTAAATAAATCATACTGTTTTTTCATATGTATGTAGAATAAAAAATGTATAAATAAACTTATATAAATAATTTTCGTGACAATTCTAACTATATTATATATATACCTTCATCGCACTCATCCACATTTTGTAGTTCTTCCAGATTTTGGAATTCATCAACTTTCTGAATTTCTTCCAAATCAAGCTGTTCTATTTCCACTTCAGGTGACTCTACTAAACTCATATCAGCATCTTCGAATTCTTCCACATATAAGCTTTTGTCATCAGCGGCCAAACTGGCTTCATCTTGTTGTTGGATTTCGCTTTGCCGCAATACATGCGTCAACAGGCGTTTCGATTCCTTTACTTTTTTATGAAAATCATAAGCCATTTGTAATTCTAAACCGCAGTTCCTGCATAATTGATTGGGAAGGTTGACATCGGCCAATAAATCGATCTCCGTGCAAATCTTGAAAACATCTTTATATGTTAAACATTCATCCTCGTCGTATATTATGTTGACATCTAAAATATCCGCACTCTGGGGTAATTGCAGGCAAACGCGACAATACAAATGAACATATTCCAGTTCAAATGTATTATCGTCCGATTCATTATTTTCCACTTTAATATCCATTAGAAAACGATTTCTAATTTGGTCGGAAGTGATTTGTTGTTAAACTTTATTTAAATTTGTTTAAAATCATAGAACTTTTATTTTCACACAATAAACACGCCACAAAAAATTTTTCAACAATCAAGTAGCGTTGCCACCTTAATCGCTTGTAATGCGTTTATTATTTTTCATATATTTGATTTGCTTTTGTCATATACACAAGGTTGTATTTTTATTTCACGACTGCTTTTGTTGGGCAAACTAATCGTTTTACTTTACAGAATTTCAGCGGTATTGGATTATTATGAAATTGCAAAAACAATTAATTCCTAGTTAAATTATATTTTCAAAAATAGTAGTTATTCTAAAGTTTTATATTTTAAAATCAAAAATAATAATTATTTGTGCATTTTAAAATAAAAAGCAGAGTGTATAATATCGCGTTTGCACTAGCCGAAAATGACTCATTTTGAATGAACCATTTGAAAGTGTTTAGATTCGTTGTAATTCATTTGTTCCCATTTCAAACAGCTGATTTTTCAACTTGCCAGTTGATTTGATTTTTGGCCTGTGCCAAAAAAATGTTACATGTACCTTCAAACTTTACAATGCAAACTGAAAACATTTTTTTAACTTCGATTGAATACTTTTTGCGAAGAAGAAGTTCTAATAAGAGGATTTCTTATGTTTCATAAAAGTAATTACTATAGTGTTGACATTTAATTTTAATTGCCAATAAATTGTTAATTGAAATTAATTATAAGTGTGTTGTCAATATTGAAAAATTTTATAAAAGTATTATTATTTTTTATTGAGACAAAATTTTATTAGTAAAACTATTTGCATATGCTAATAAAGATTAAATGTTGTGTATAGAGAGATAAGGTCAATTTGACGCATTTATTATAATGGAAGGTATTTATTGTAATATAAATTGTGATAACTCGATCGAAACATGGTACTAGATTTACTATAATTAAAATATAGGATTGTATTAAATTTTTTTCTTTGAATGTATCCAATGAAATAATTTAGTACACCTAGTGTTTGTTAACACCTAATTAATTTGATATAAAATAAATATAGTTCAAAAGAACAGAAAGTCGAGTTTCGTTTAATCTATAAACAAAGACTACTTAAATACATATTTGTTGTGTTTACATTGCAAACTTTACCTTTTGAACTTTAGTAAAGTTTATTATTATACGTCGGAAATTCTTACTATCATTTTTGAATTTTGTTTTCATAAAATATTCTTAAAACATAGAAAATTATGTAAATGTGATTTATAAAGTTAAGAAAGGTTTTTTGAGCAATAGGGAATTCCAACAATAAAATTCTTATTGAGACTAGCTGGCTAATTAGCACTAAATGTAAGCTTTAAACAACTGCGACAAACAACTGCTCCTGAGATTTAAAGGAAAAATACTCTGGAAAATATTTGGCCCGGTGTGCATAGAAGACGGCTCATATTGTATACAGTATAACGACTAATTGAATGTCTTGAACGAAGGCCGAACTATAACACGATACATAAAAGCCCAAAGATTAAGTTGGTATGGACACATCCTACGAATGAGTAACGAAAGAATGACTAAGAAAATTTTCGAGACAAAGCCAGAGGGGAGTAGAAAAAGAGGACGACCGCGACGAAGATAGTTACAAGATGCAGAAGACGACATGCGAACGATGAGAATAACACAACACATAAAGAAAGCGAAATGCAGAGAAAAATGGAGGCGTATTGTAGAGAAGGCAATGGTCTATCCTGGACTTTGATGCTAAAATGATGATGATGATGATACAAGTGCAACTCATGTTAGTTGCAGTTTAAACAATTATTAACGAATAATTAAATATAAGAAATATTTGCAAATGATATCTACCGCTGATGATAGGTTTTCGACAATTCTTGAAACAGTTGTAAGTCCAGCCAAAAGTTCAATTAATAAAAAAAAGGAATTTCGTTGTTGTGATTCACTATTGTTCCATTTTTTTTATTTTCAAATTAACCCACCAACAAATATTGTGGAGATTTTTATAAATACTATTTTATATTTTTCCTAAAAGTATGCTGCAAAAATGTTGAATTTGAGGCTGAGTGAAAAAAGAATGATATACCATATGTGTGCATATTACAGCTACTGTTTAGAGCGCAAAACCAGTCATACACGGAGGAACATGGTTCCAGCTACCTGGTTACAAACTAAACATCACTTTTTTATAAATCATTGTTAGAAGTGGTTGTATTTTTGAGCGCGCAGCAAGTTAATATAACGAACGTGATTTTATTATGATTAATATTTATTCTTTTAACATTAAATAAAATAAATTTCTTTTATTTTTTTTTTATATCAATTTTTATGAACTGCTTTTAACTGGTTTTAGTTATTTAATTATTTTATATTTGTTTGAATTTGAATTGAATATAATTTTCATAATATCGTACTTAATAAACATATAAACATATATATGAAATAATAATAAACATATATGGAAGTATGTTTACATTTTAATTTCAAAATAATACGGAACAAAATAAGTTCAATATTAAAAGTAACTTAATACTTAGATTAACAGTAATAATTATTATGGAAAAGATAAAAATGATTATAAAACATGATGTACATTTATTTCAAAATATTATATCTATAAATAAAAAAACAGAAAATCAAATAAGATCGTATTCAGAGCAAGTTAACTTCATTACATTATAGTTCTAATTTCAATTACAAGACATTCAAATAGGATATTGGATTTTGCGATTTTAATTACAACAGAATTTATTTGATTCCAAAGAATAGATAGCTTTAGGTACTCAATTTCTTCGGAATGGAGTTCAATTATTTTCTTGTTGCTGCTATGAGCCTTTGCATTGTTGTTGTTTTAAATGTATATGTCCTCTGCGTATACATAACATTTGTCTCTTTTAATAAGTTGATTGAGTAGCTATAATACTTTTATTTCGCTGATTTTTTTATTGAGAACATTTTAATTTGGAAAATTCGGGAGTATAAAACATGTTGAGTTCAGAGCGTTTAATAAATGACTTATATACGTTATGGAAAAGTTTCTGAAATAAGGTTTATTTTTTAATTTGCATTTCGTAATTTCAAGCCGTTTATGAATCCATTTAGAAATGTTTAGCGGAATGATGAACAACATTATCACTTATTTCTTCATTAGCTTAATTACAGAGATACAAAAATTGATTAGCTGAAAAATTTCAATCCATATAAATTTTGCTTCAAATAATTTTATTGCTTATTTTTCATTCCCTCTCTTTATTTATAATATTCTCTCTACTATTTTTTTAATGTCGTTATATACCACGTCAAGAAGGCACCTCGTATCTTGTGTGTAGCTATATCCACTTTTTAAGTAATTTGTTAAAATAATGCTGATTACCTAAAATAATTCAAAAAGGACACGAGAACGTTAGGTAATCATTTTTGTTGATCCTCTTCAAAAGTTTCAAATATAATATTTGATTCAGGTTCTAGTATTATTAATAATAATTCTGGTATTACAGCAGAATGCAGAAGCTTTTTTTTTTTTGAAACATACTAATTGAAATTATTTTGTTTCAATAGTAATAAAAGTTCTTTCATTTGTCTTCCAAAAGAAATAAATGTTTTCCATCTCGGAAATAGGGAAACTACTATCAATGATAATTTTTGACTCATGACCCAAAAATTCTGTATGCTTATTTTTAATTTTCTTTCCTGTCGGGTTTTTTACAATTTATCTTCAATATATCATTTATGTTCGATTAGCTGCAGACGTTTTATATGTCGAACAAAGTTGGATGAAATACTTGACGTGCACTTGAGACTTCCGTTTACAAGAAACACAACGAATGATAAAACTGTTAAATGAATTCGATGATGTTGAATGCTAATAATAGAATTTTAACATTAGCTTTCTAATCAAGAATAATTTAAAAGCTTACCGTTGATACCACTTTAAAAAATTGTGTTTAAAAATAGTCTATATTCCCAAAGTCAATTTGTATTGCTCCTGCAAGGTGTTCTGAGTTATATCTTCAATAAATGACTTATATTCCATTAAATGAAGGCCTTCAAGATGCTCTGAAGGAGAATCTCCCTATAAGAAACACTTTTCGTGAATATTTGTATTGAGTCTTTGAATTTTCTGTTTGCTTTTCTGGGATTTGCCATCAATATACCATTTATGTTCACTTGGATGTAAGCGTTTTAAATGTTTCAAAAAATTCGATGAAATACCTCTTGTACCTTTGATGGTTTTGGCATTGTCATTACAGAGAATACAACGAGCTACAATAGTGTTAGATGGGTTGGATGACTTTGATGGCTAATTAAAAGAAGTTCGATATAAATATTTGCGGAAGAAAAATTTGTAGACTTACCGTGGTTATGACCTTAAAGAAACTTTGATTAAAAATAGAATTAAAACGGGTCTGGTCTGAAGGAGAATCTTCCTCCAATGAGTCCTTTTCACCCATTTCAATATTATGTTGCTGACTTTCGTCTCTGCTTTTCTGTATATTAGCTTCAGTATGCTTTTTATTTTCAGTTGGATTCATACGTTTTGAATATTCTGAAGTAAAATCCTCTTCTAATGAAGTCTTTTCGGCCATCTCGATATTCGATTGCTGCTTTTCCTGCGTATTATCTTCAGTATGCTTCTTATGTTGAATTGAATTCAGCGATTCCAAGTGCTCTGATGTAGAATTTTCCTCTAATGAGTTGTTTTCGACCATTTCCATATTGTGTTCCTGGCTTTCCGGTTTGCGTTTGTGCATTTTATTTTCAACATATTTTTTATGTTCCATTGGATGCCGTCGTTTTAAATGTTTTATAAAGTTTGACGACACACTTTTTGTACCTTTGATGGTTTTGGCACTGTTATTACAGAGAACACAACGAGCAATAACAGTGTTAGATGGATTGGATGAATTCGATGGCTAATTAAAAGAAATTCGATATAAATATTTGTGGAAGAAACATTTGTAGGCTTACCGAGGGTATGACTTTAAAGAAACCTTGATTAAAAATAGAGCTAAGATTGGTCTGCTCTGTAAGAGAATCTTCCTCTAATATGCGTTTTTCACTCATTTCAATATTGTGTTGCTGGTTTTCTTTTGTGTTTTTCTGTGTATTTTCTTCAATTGGTTTCAGGCGTTCTGAATATTCTGAAATAAAATCTTCCGCTAATAAAGTCTTTTTGGCCATCTCAATAACCTGTTGCTGGCTTTTCTGCATACTATCTTTAGGATACTTCTTATGTTCAATTGAATTCAGCGATTCCTTATTATATTCGACATCTTTTTTATGTTCAATTGGATTCAGGCGTTCTAAAGGAGAATCCTCCTTTGATGAGGTCTTTTCGCCCATCTCAATATTGGATTGTCGTCTTTCCTTCGTGCTATTCTCAGTATGCTTTTTATGTTTAATTGAGCTTAGCCTTTCTAAATGCTCTGAAAGACACTTTTCATTTAATGAGTCCTTCTCGGCCATTTCAATATTGTGTTGCTGGCTTTCCTCTCTGCTTTTCTGCGTATTATCATTAGCATGGCTTTCATGTTCAACTGGATTAAGGTGTTCTAAATGCTCTGAAGGAGAATTCTCTAATAATGAGTTATTTTCGCCCATCTCAATATTGGACTGCTGGTTTTCCTGGGTAGTACCTTCAGTATGGGTTTTATGTTCAATTGTATTCAGCCGATCTAAATGCTGTGAAATAGTACCTTTCTCAAATAAATCCTTTTCGCCCACCTCCATATTGTGTTGCTGGCTTTCCAGTTTGCGTTTTTGTGCTCTACCTTCAATATATTTTTTATGTTTAATTGGGTGTAATCGTTCTGAACACTCTGAAAGAAAATCTTCCCCTAATAAGTCATTTTCGGAAATGTCAGTATTAACTTGTTGGGTTTTTCGTATTTTATCTTCAACATATTTTTTATGTTCAATTGGATGTAAACGCTTTAAATGTATAACAAAATTTGATGAAACACCTTTCGTACCTTTGATGAGTTTGGTATTATCATTACAAAGAACACAACGAGCAACAATAGCGTTAGGTGAACTGGTTGATATCGAAGGCTTAATAACAGAAGTTTAATACAAATAATAGTGATATAAAAAATATAAAAGCATACCGTTGTTATTCTTTCGAAGAAATTGTGATTAAATATGGAATTTGGAAAAGTCCGCTTTTTTGGTGGACCTTTCGCTTTGTCATTGGCAATATTGTGTTGCTGGCTCTTCAGCTTGCTTTTCTGTTCCTTATCTTCAGTATATTTTTTATATTCCATTGGATGCAGTCGTTTTAAATGTTTAATGAAATTTGATGTAATACCTTTTGTAGCTTTGATGATTTTGGTACTATCATTACAGAGAACACAACGAGCAATAACAGTGTTAGATGGGTTGGATGACTTTGATAACTGAATAAAAGAAATTCGATATAAATATTTGTGGAAGAAACATTTGTAAACTTACCGTAGGTATAAACTTAAAGAAACTTTCATTAAAAATAGAATTAGGAAAAGTCTGCTTTGAAGGAGAATCTTCCCTCAAGGAGTCCTCTTTACCCGTTTCAATATTGTGTTTCTGGTTTTCTTCTCTGCTTTTCTGCGTACTATCTTCAGTATGCTTCTTATGTTCAATTGAATTCCGCCTCTCTAAATGCTCTGAAAGACACTTTTCATTTAATGAGTCCTTCTCGGCCATTTCAATATTGTGTTGCTGGCTTTCCTCTCTGCTTTTCTGGGTATTATCATTAGCATGGCTTTCATGTTCAACTGGATTAAGGTGTTCTAAATGCTCTGAAGAAGAATTCTCTAATAATGAGTTATTTTCGCCCATCTCAATATTGGACTGCTGGTTTTCCTGGGTAGTACCTTTAGTATGGGATTTATGTTCAATTGTATTCAGCCGATCTAAATGCTGTGAAATAGTACCTTTCTCAAATAAATCCTTTTCGCCCACCTCCATATTGTGTTGCTGGCTTTCCAGTTTGCGTTTTTGTGCTCTACCTTCAATATATTTTTTATGTTTAATTGGGTGTAATCGTTCTGAACGTTCTGAAAGAAAATCTTCCCCTAATAAGTCATTTTCGGAAATGTCAGTATTATCTTGCTGGGATTTTCGTATTTTATCTTCAACATATTTTTTATGTTCAATTGGATGTAAACGCTTTAAATGCATAACAAAATTTGATGAAACACCTTTTGTACCTTTGATGAGTTTGGTATTATCATTACAAAGAACACAGCGGGCAATAATAGTGTTAGATGTATTGGTTGATATCGAAGGCTTAATAACAGAAGTTTAATACAAATAATAGTGATATAAAAAATATAAAAGCATACCGTTGTTATTCTTTCGAAGAAATTGTGATTAAATATGGAATTTGGAAAAGTCAGCTTTTTTGGTGGACCTTTCGCTTTGTCATTGGCAATATTGTGTTGCTGGCTCCTCAGCTTGCTTTTCTGTTCCTTATCTTCAGTATATTTTTTATATTCCATTGGATGCAGTCGTTTTAAATGTTTAATGAAATTTGATGTAATACCTTTTGTAGCTTTGATGATTTTGGTACTATCATTACAGAGAACACAACGAGCAATAACAGTGTTAGATGGGTTGGATGACTTTGATAACTGAATAAAAGAAATTCGATATAAATATTTGTGGAAGAAACATTTGTAAACTTACCGTAGGTATAAATTTAAAGAAACTTTCATTAAAAATAGAATTAGGAAAAGTATGCTTTGAAGGAAAATCTTCCCTCAAGGAGTCCTCTTTACCCGTTTCAATATTGTGTTTCTGGTTTTCTTCTCTGCTTTTCTGCGTACTATCTTCAGTATGCTTCTTATGTTCAATTGAATTCAGTCTCTCTAAATGCTCTGAAAGACACTTTTCATTTAATGAGTCCTTCTCGGCCATTTCAATATTGTGTTGCTGGCTTTCCTCTCTGCTTTTCTGGGTATTATCATTAGCATGGCTTTTATGTTCAACTGGATTAAGGTGTTCTAAATGCTCTGAAGGAGAATTCTCTAATAATGAGTTATTTTCGCCCATCTCAATATTGGACTGCTGGTTTTCCTGGGTAGTACCTTTAATATGGGATTTATGTTCAATTGTATTCAGCCGATCTAAATGCTGTGAAATAGTACCTTTCTCAAATAAATCCCTTTCACCCACCTCCATATTGTGTTGCTGGCTTTCCAGTTTGCGTTTTTGTGCTCTACCTTCAATATATTTTTTATGTTTAATTGGGTGTAATCGTTCTGAACGTTCTGAAAGAAAATCTTCCCCTAATAAGTCATTTTCGGAAATGTCAGTATTATCTTGCTGGGATTTTCGTATTTTATCTTCAACATATTTTTTATGTTCAATTGGATGTAAACGCTTTAAATGCATAACAAAATTTGATGAAACACCTTTTGTACCTTTGATGAGTTTGGTATTATCATTACAAAGAACACAGCGGGCAATAATAGTGTTAGATGTATTGGTTGATGTTGAAGGCTTAATAACAGAAGTTTAATATAAATAATAGTGATATAAAAAATAAAAAAGCATACCGTTGTTATTCTTTCGAAGAAATTGTGATTAAATATGGAATTTGGAAAAATCCGCTTTTTTGGTGGACCTTTCGGTTTGTCATTGGCAATATTGTGTTGCTGGCTTTTCAGGTTGCTTTTCTGTTCTTTATCTTCAGTATATTTTTTATATTCCATTGGATGCAGTCGTTTTAAATGTCTTATGAAATTTGATGAAATACCTTTTGCAGATTTGATGATTTTGTTACTGTCTTTACACAGAATACAAGGAGCCGTAACAGCTTTAGATGGATTGGATGATGTCGAAGACTTAATAAAAAAATTTATTTAAGTAATATTGTAAATAAAATTTAAAAGCTTACCATTGGTAAAAGTTCGAAGAAATTGTGATTAAAAACAGAAGTTGGAAAAGGCCAGTCAGAACGATAATTTGTTTTTGTAGAGTTTTTGTGAATCTTCACACTAGAGTGTTGGCTTTCTTTCTTGCTCTTCTGCGCTTTATCTTCAATATTATTTTTATGTGAAAATGATTGCAGACATTTTAATTGTTCTGAAGAAGAATCTCCTCTGAAAAAAAATCTTCCTGAGTAGGAGAATCGTCTTGTGAAAAGTCTCTTTCATTAATGTCAACACTGAGCTGTTGATTTTTTTGCTCGCTCTTGTTTGTTTTTTCTTCAACATATTTTTTATGTTTTATTGGATTCATCCTTTTAAAACGCTTTGCACGTGAATTATTTTCTGAAGAAGAGTCTTCCTCTGAAGAAGAGACTTCCTCTGAAGAAGAGTCTTCCTCTGAATAAGAGTCTTCCTCTGAAGAAGAGTCTTCCTCTGAAGAAGAGTCTTCCTCTAAAAAAGAGCCTTCCTCTAAAGAAGAGCCTTTCTCTAAAGAATAATCCTCCTCTAAAGAAGTCTTTTCCTCTAAAGAAGAGTCTTCCTCTGAAGAAGAGTCTTTCTCTGAAGAATCCGTTTCGTTAATGTCAGTATTATTTTGCTGGATTTTGCGTATTTTATCTTCAACATATTTTTTATATTCAATTGGATGTAAACGCTTTAAATGTATAACAAAATTTGATGAAACACCTTTAGTGCCTTTTATGAGTTTGGTATTATCATTACAAAGAACACAGCGGGCAATAATAGTGTTAGATGTATTGGTTGATGTGGAAGGCTTAATAACAGAATTTTAATACAAATAATAGTGATATAAAAAATATAAAAGCATACCATTGTTATCGTTTCAAAGAAATTGTAATTAAAAATGGAACTAGTTCTTCTTTTTGAGGAATTTGTGGTCGTGTCATTGTCAGTGTTGAGATGCTGGCTTTCCCGCTGGCTTTTTTGCTGATTTTCTTGTTGCAAATTCAATGATTTATTTTGAATATATTTGTTATATTCAATTGGATGTCGACGTTGTAAATGTGTTACGAAATTCGACGTAACACCTTTTGCACCCCTTATGATTTTGTTGCTGTCTTTACATAGCACACAACGAGCAATAGTACTTCCAGATCGGTTTGATGATGCTGATGGCTACATATCCAAAACTTTGTAAAAATATTTGTGTAAAATATTTGAAAGCTTACCGTTGGCATCAATTCGAAGAAATTGCAATCAAAAACGGACGTAATACAAGTCTGTTTAGAAAGATGGTTTGTAGAGTCATTCTTGCCAATCTCAATGTTGTTTCGTTGGCTTATCTCTATTGGATCCAGTGGCCAAATTTCCATGCCTTCAAATTCAATTCCTTTAAACATTTTGATTTATTATACTATATAATTTAATTCACTTAATTCTTAAAACAAACTTGACAATGTCGCTTATTAAGATGCACACAGAATTCATATTCGCGATTATTCACACAAATATGCATTTTTTGAACAAAAACAAAATTCGTCTTCTAAATCTTTATGACTTTACTTTCAATATTTAAATACAAGTGTCAGATATAGTTGCTATAGAGAGTAGTTATTGTAGATTTTGGACGAGAGCCCAGTAAATAGCGATTGGTTTTGCGAACTTCTAAGACACTTAAAAGTGTTCTGAATGTACAAAAATATGTTTTAGTCAGTAATTAACAGTTTTTAGTGGTGTTGTACGCGATGAATAAATAATTTATTTATCAGTACTGTTTTGCCTTTGAGACAATGAATTTATTTCATTTAAGAAATTAATTTATAATAAATTGATTACTATATTTATATAAGGTACTATATTTATGTCGAAATCGTAAATAAATTTGTATTGGCTAAGCTAATTTATAAATAATTGTAAATTGATCAATATGGTTGAATGGGTTAGTATCACATACAAATATAGCATAAGCTAAATGAACAGCAGAACCAAATTATTTAAGTTAATACCATAGATTTTAATAAGATGAATAAAGAAAGAATTGTACAGTATAGCACAAAATTACTAACACTGTAAATATGAAACAAAATTATTCAAATAATATTTATCTTTGCTTGTTGTGAGTGATATTTTTCTATCTACGTTTATACGAAGAGCTTAGCAATAAACCTCCCGCTTTAGTGAATAAAAGAAACAAATATTTCGAGAGCTGTTGCTCGAAAGTATATATTATATTATAAAATAATATTATATATAATACGTATTTTTGTTATAACTGGTCTATTTGTTGATGATCTGTACTTCTTCAAAATTTGGAGTATGGTTCATCATAGATCAATGATGATCCATAAGCTGTCAAAAAACAAATTTAGGATGAGAATCGCTGGTCACAAATACCACATAAAGAGCAGATCAACTCCCAATGATCAAAACAGAAATGAACAAAAAAACAGTACTAGCGAGCTATTGCTCTATAATGAACCATACTCCAAATTTAGATAAGCACAGATCATCAACAAAGAACCAAATTATAGACATAGACTAATGCTGGATATGTAACACATAATTGATGTTTAGGACAATCAGATAATGAACTACAAAAAAAAAAAAACGGAGAAGATCTTGAACAAATCTACAGGTCAAAGGAAATTATTAATCAAAGGAAAAAATTTAATATATAATTAATAAATTTAAAAAGATAATTTTCGCTTTTGTAAAATATTTCTTAAAACCTAACTCTTTCTTTAACCTCTGATTTGATCTGCCTAATTCTTATACCACGTAATTTTTATAAAATGGGTCCAATGAAAGTAATACAAGATATGATATTTTGCGACTTAATATATGTATGCTAATATTATTCTAAAGTAGCAAAAAATGTTTTTCGATTATTTATTTTATATTGACTCTTTCTATTCCTGATGTTTTGTAAAAATTCGAAATAATGAATTAAAATAATTTATGTATTTATATGAATTTAGATTTCTTAGTATATCTAAGAACTATCTATATCTTAGTATTTGATGATAGTACACCTAAATTATCTCACTATTTTTCATTAAATAGAAAAACTTAAGGAATGAACAACAGGTAGTTTGGGACATTAGAATGAGCAGTACTGATATATTTGGTTCTTTTTTTTATTTATTTACAAACATTTGGGCAAACACCCGCATAGGAGAACTTACTAATGGACAATGAGTTTAAAGCTCTGAGAAAAACAACATATGTGCTTCGGTGCTGCTGCTATTTTTACATTAGCATATTATTGGACTGCAGTGCAACGGTCTCGCTGTCTATGGTATGTCGGGCAAATGATGCGCTTTATTAGCTACATGAAGGAAGTGGATCATTTTCGTTGCAGTGCAGTAACTTTACAGTATAGAAGTGATTGTAATTGCAATTGTAAGTAAAAATTATGTTTTTAAATGTACTTGTTTTAACATAAATTTATTTTATATTTATATTGATACAAAAGTATAATAATAAATAAATTATACATATTTAATATTATACGACTGAGTAATAAAAATTTAACTAAACATTACTTAAAAATATTTTAAAAATAAATAAATACTTTAACTACGTTTGTACACTATTATTTTTATATATTTGTTTTTAAAAATCCGAAAGCCTCTCCTCATTTCAAGATCGAATTTTTCGAAATCCATTCCTGGACCGTAGACAGCAACAAAAAAAAAATTTTTTTTAATTAAATTTCTTATTTCAAACTAACAAACAGGAGCAACACGAATGTTGAATATGCACACACTAGTGGTGGTGACACTACTGCATACTAGTATTGATTATAAAGAATGGATTACTTACAGAACACAATTTCTTTAAAAAATTTTAGAGATTTAACTGGACATTTTTTCTGGCGGCCATCCCAATTTATGAAAGGCAGAGTGTTTTCTAAAAAGAAGTGAGGCAGTGCTTTTCTTACTGGAGTAGCACCCACAATGGAGCGAACGTATTCGACCTGTAATTAAATAATGAACTCAGTATTATAAAATAAATATAAAATACTTGAAACACTCAATGAACATATCAACCAAATCATCGTGTGAGTACTGTAGTAAAATATTGTCTGCAGATTTAATGTCCTCAAAACATTTGAAAGGTAAAATTTTTAAATTTAATGATTTTGGAATGAGTTTCATCTTCAATTTATTCAGAACCACACTATGAGTTGTCAAAGTGTTTTTTATAGCTGAAATATCTGCTTTTAACTCATTAAAAAAATTTTTTTGATCTTCGTTTTCAATGTTTATCAACAAAAAAAAATGAATAAATTAAGTACGTACGAATAAAAAAATAGTAAATGTAATATTGTTGTTAATAAAGAATTGTTAGAAATGAGTTTATTTCGAACATTCTTTGAAAAAACCATAAGTTTCGCTTACGAAAGGTCGAGGGAGAGTGTCACAAAGAAACATTCTCATAGAAGAACGTCTGTTTTCAGAATCAGGAAAATTGTGAGACGCTATTATATTTTGCCTTTCAGCAAGGCACGTTCAAAGACATATTCTTAGAATCCTCACATTTCCGCATAACTCTTTATATATCATAAAAAAAAACTTTAAAACACAATTTTAAAAACAATACATATATCATATCATGTTAATATGTGACAACAGACTTCTTAAAATTTTAGCATCTTAGCTCAAACGCATCCTTGAGTTATTTGAGCATTTAACATAGGGTAATGTTGGCAATGAAGATGAAGAAGTTGCTACTTTGAGCAACAAAACATAGTGGCAATAATTGATGAGAACAAAAAACCATTATGATAGTGATAGTAAATTTAACGCATTCCGTGCTTTGTAGTCTCAACTATCCAAAAAACAGGTCCATTATGTCGTGCAAGCTCAATAGAAAGCACACTTTAAGAATATTTATTCGTTGGAAATATTACATAGGGAAAGTAGTACTTTTTACAGATGAATGAATATTGGAAATATTAAGTAGAGAAATTTAGGGTACCTATCCTTGTGACGGTTGGAATGATATCCAAGGAAATAATAATTAAAGACAATTTAAATAATATACAAAATACAAAAAAAAAAGGGAAGCAAACAAGATTAGTTTATTTAGATAAGTCGTTGGAAGACAGTAAAGCTATGCATTTTCTTTTTAGTTGATAAAAAATAATATATAAGGTCAGATATCCAATATTATAAGTTGTAAGGATTGATATGAATAAAAGCACTTACATTTTGGCTAAAATATGAATAGTACTTTTACTAGTATTATAACAATACCACAGTCTAATTTTACAGTTTCCTACTCTGGTTGCGCTTTTAACTGCAAACAATTTTTAATGTTTTTGAAGTATACTTTTGTTGAAAAGACCACTTGTACAAGTCGACACGTTTAGACCAGATATCATTCACATGCTTAGGAAATTGTTAGTAGCATCTCTATTTATCCATCCATTCCTTGAAATCTTTAATAATACAGTACGGTCTTTTAATTGCTTTTACACTCTATGGTTTCTAGAACAATACTTTTAGAAGCAATAGTACTCATGATACAGATACACAAACTGTTATTATTGACTTTTGCTGGAATCCATCCAGAAAGATGTGAATTATTTTCGATTTACTGAAACTTGATAAGTGAAAGCTAATAACGTACAAAATGAGACCAAAAACTTTAAAATAAAAGAAGTACTTACCTTTCACAATATTTAAATAATAACATCAACCTGGAATATGCACATAAGTGTTATTTTATATTAATAAAATATCATTTTAAACGATTTTTATTATTTGTTTCATAACTTACAAAAATATTATAATTTTACGTTTAAATCATAATTGACTTTCACACACAAACTTTTATACCACAAATAAAAAACACATGATTTTCACTTTCATTTTTAAAAATTAAATATTTGTTCTTTTTGATCATAATTAGACTGCCAGCGAAATAATTTATACTAAATAATATTTTAATTTTTTAAAGTATCGTTCTTTTTTTTTTTATAAATTCAATAGCATTTTAATTGGTATTATATGCAATAAGATAGGACATAATATTACGATAATATTCAAGAGCATACAATGCATCATTTGGAGATTTTCGATCACTGCACAAGACAACAACCAAAACAGTAACATATTTTATTAAGAAAAAATATGCAATATTAAATCACAATTAATGCATGAAAAAAGGTATGAATGTAAGCATATTCACATTTCGATTTGCCTACAAAAAGCGCGGTGCAGACTATCATTTTTGAATGTCATTCAAGTTGCGATCTCTCTTGCTCAAATATATTCTAGCGACCGAACTTGAACATGCTAACATTCAAGAGTTGCCATTCAAGTAAAATTTTTGAATAATAAGGGTGTTTGCGCACGCTGTAAGTGTGTTAGTGCAACCACGCAAAAATATGCTCTTGAATAACAAATACAAGTTTTTGGATGACAGACTACCATTCAAAACATGTTGGTGAGCACACCAATATGTTGGTTGCGTGTCATTCAAAGGTGCAGACTATAATTTTTGAATTTTCTCTCTTGAATGACACTCAAAAATGATAGTCTGTACCACATTTCTACACACCAAATGCAAAAAGCAAGAATAATCAACCCAACAAAAGACTATTAATGAGAAAGAATACTAAATGTAAAGACGACTTACAATGGAAGATATAAAATCTAACAAATTTCTAATTGCTCAGAGGTTTATATGCTACTTTTTCCATTAAATTACTTATTATTAGTAATTATAATTACACATTTAATATAGCAACTCAATTATCAATTATAATTACTCTGTATTTAATAATTGAATTTTTCAATCATAATTACAGTTGAATTCTACTTACTCAATTACCAATTAAAATTACCCTGTAATTAGTAATTAGGGGTTATCTAGTGACAAAGGTCATTACTGCACAACTCTGCTTGTTTTCTTAATTACAAGATCGTGTTATATTTTAGAATTATGCTTAACTAAATGAAATTCCATTTTAAAATTTTCTGTAATTCTGTACCGATATACCGGTAAGTAAAAAAGTTTTTATAATAAGTTTCTTTAACTCAATGATAGATTATAAATACTGATATATTAATTGGTCAAATCAAATTATTTTACATATTGATCAATTATAAAGTTTGAAAATGTACCGAAAGATTACTATCCTTCATATATACGTTTTTGAAATTCCTATTTGTGTCTAACATACACAAATATTCCTTCTGCAGTTCAGATATTGCTAATATGACTGTTAAAGTAAATCATTGCTTCGAACATATTATATTCTACTAATTTGTGGCAATCTTATTTATATAATATATATACCTTTATTACTCTCTTCCACATTTTGTACATCTTCTATGTTTTGAAATTCCTCGATCTTAGGAATTACTTTTAAATCAAGTTGTTCTGCGTCAGTTTCAGTTGCTTTCGCTAAACTCATTTCAGAATCTTCTACAGCGACTATACTGACATCATTTTCCTGACGGATTTGATTTTGTCCACATACTTGCCTGAACAGGCGCTTCGATTCCTTTACTTTTTTATGAAAATCGTAAGTAATTTGTAGTTCTAAACCACAGTTTTTACATAGTTGATAGGGAGCGTTAATATCGGCCAACAAATCGATTTCTGTACAAATCTTGAAAACATCTTTATATGTTAAACTTTTATCCTCGTCGCAAATTTTGTCGACATCTAATATATCTGCACTGGGGGGTAATTGCAGACAGACGCGACAATATAAATGAATATTTTCCATTTCAAATATATTACAATGTGATTCATTATGTTCGTCTTTAATATCCATTAGAACACAATTTCTAATTTTGTTTAAAGTGTTTTGTTTTTAAACTTTGTTTATATTTGTTTCAAACTACACAACTAACATCTTCACATAATAAACGCGCCACAACAGCTGTTTCAAATAACTTAATGGCGTTGCCACCTTATTATTTATGTCATTGTAAATAAAAGGACTTCTGTGGATAAATCGGAACGAAATGGCAAAATCTCTTTGTCATACGATTTTTAAACGAATATTTAATTAATTGCGATTTGATTCATTCATTATAAAATAGAGGACATTATTTAATTGACAATTGATTGTAATTTATAATTATATAAGAAAAATTCATTTTTCGATTACATATTTTGAATGGAAAGTAGAAATATTGAAATAGTATGTTTGTATTTTAGTATATTTTTAAAACTGAAAAGATGCAAATTTTGATATATAATTTTTAAAAAAAAAGCTTAAATTATTCTCTTTAAAAATATTTAAATTTCAAATTGTTCATTTGCGCGGCATTGGTGCTTTCACTTTACATAGAGCTGTTCCATGAAAATCTGTGTGAAGAGCGTAATTTGGCACTTTATTTGTGTTACACTGCAGTTTGTACTTTACTTGAGTTTTACTACGAGTAGTTCGTGGAACAGACCTATTATCAATTTACAATTTATTGTTTATCAACTTTTTATTGCCATTTACTATATATTTTTCCTATTATTATTAGTATAATGTTTGTATATCATACATTACAACACTGAGAAAAGTTAGCAAATTAACAAGTGTATTTATTATTTAATAATTCGATGATTGCAATTAAAAACAAATTCATTTTTAATCAAGTGAATTTTTGGATTGACCATATAGCTGTTTGGATACCGTCAAATACGTAGTGGTCTTTTGGAGACAGTTATTGGTTTGTTGGACTGCAAGTATCAGTATTTTCTATTACTCTCTTCTCTATTTAAAATGGAACAATCAAAATTTTTAATTATAATAAATTTAAGAATGTAATAATTATAATTTCATAGACATGTTTATTTAGTCCAGTTAATGATATTCAGTATTATTTTTTTACCTTCAATAATATAACAGAAAATTTCATGATTACAGAGTTTTTTTAGTCAAAAAAATTGGTATTTTTTTCGTTTCTGTATTAAATACTATCAGTAATACAATAATAAGAATAATTGAATTTTTTTATAATGCATTATGGTCTTTAGTAGTGCTGTTCATATTCGAATATTTTAAAAACCGAAATTATCCGGTTAGTCGGATAGCAACGAAGTCTCCGGAGTAAAAAATAAATTCGAATTTTTTGTAAATACGAAGTTTTCGAATATCTGGATTTGCGATTATTATTCGCAATGAAGTTATTCAGAGACTCCGTGAGCATAAAATGCAAATGGACGTGCATCACGTAAATAAACCCCATTTTTTTAGGGATGATTGAATTTGTCTTTCCTTTAACTTTTGCTCAAAAAGTCTCCGAATAATTGAACTGTGAATAATATCCGGATATTCGAACACTCCGGATTTACAAAAAATCCGATTTTTCTTTCAACTCAGGAGATTTCGTTTACTATTCGATTAATGGAATTCTCCGAATAATTCATAAAACCAAATACGAACAGTTCTAGTCTTTAGGTTTGATTTTCGATGCGGGTAAAGTATCGATTCTTATGTTACCACTTCTGGATACACGTACTAATCGCCAAACTCCGTAAATCAATGCTCGAAGCCTGTGTCTTTTGCGGTTATTAAACATCCAGTTGATAAAATAACCATGTTTATTTAGGACATCTATTGCCATCTTTTTAGAAACGGGGTCAGTACAATTCAAATTTGCAAAAATGTCTTTACCGACATTATATGGATTCGTCTCTTGCCTTTCCGTTCTATACAGTCTAATTTTAGTTCTATAATGTAAAAAAATTTTTGTAAATTTGAGATCAATCAAAGTTTTGTTCGCCCACAAACCTTCCTTGTCCGTGACATACTTGTGAATTGTTATTCATGTTGAGCCCTGATAAATGAATGAATTAATTAATTTTTGTATTGGATTTCTTATAAGAAAAATTTTTTTTTTAAATATACTTAATTAAAGTAGTAATACCAAAAACCGTATTTATGTTATATTTTATAAAATAAAGGCTCTGCGGTGATTTAACCCATCAACTAAAAAGTACAATGAGCTCGTTCTCTTTTAATCATTCTATATAACTTTTAAGTTAACTAATTTTGAACGTATTAAGCAGTAAACGAAAAAAAACTATACATGATTAAATATAGTGTACTGTGTTATATTTCTATTACATGCAATACAGTGTACTGAATGAAAAAGTGTTAGTTTGTGTTTAGAATTTAAGCAACCAAATAACATCATATTGAAGCTTTTTCTATTAGATAAACAATGTTACCATAGAGAAAAGATGATTTTAATTGAAGATTTTAATGAGAGTGCTCTGACTAACATAACAGATTTATTTGGAGTAAAGTTGGAGTAAATATGTATTTTACTTTTCTTAAATAAATTCATTTCTGTAGTTATGAAATAATAATAATGTCTATTCTAAGCTAAGACACGGTAGCAAAATGGGCCTATAGGCCTAAGTGGATTTCCCTGGGATCGCCGATATAACCAACTTAACCTAAATTAAGATAGCAATAAATTGGATTTAGTAATAATTGATCAATGTATAACTGTAATGAATACGAACAATAGAGCGATCCAATTTAATTTGGCACATATCAACATTAGCCCATTCAACGCATAGACTGTACATATTGACTAATTCCACAAGATTGCTAATTTTAGAAAAATAGTAGCAAGAAGGCAGTGAAACAACACCTAGAAAGCCCATGCACAATATATGTGCAGTTATGAACTTATTAATATCCTAGAACCCTTATAGTAATATTAAATAACAATTAAATATATAACATTTAAACGATTAATGGAAACGTTTGATATATATACCTTCTTCAGACTTTTCCATACTATTAAATTCTTCCGCATTTTGAATTTGATCAACTTCACAGTCTTGAGAAAAGTCTTCCGTATCAATCGGTTCTTTTTTAACTTTAGCTAAATTTATATCATTTACTGGTGCATCATCGCTAGTCATCTCGGCTTCATTTCCTTGTTCGATTTCATTTTGTTTTTTTATATGTATCAATAGGCTTTTGGCTTCCTTTATTTTTCTATGAAAATCATAAACCATTTGCAGTTCTAAACCGCAGCTTTTGCATACTCTACAGGGAAGTGTAAAATCGGCCAATAAATCAATGTCTGTGCAAATCTTAAAAACTTCCTTATATGTTATATTTTCATCCTCGTCGTATACTGTATTGACGTCTAATATATCCGTACTTCGCGGCATTTGTAGACATACGCGACAATATAAATGAATCTTTTCCATATCAATTGAAATATCGAATTCATTATTTTCCATTTTAATATCCAATACAAAAATATTTGTAATTTAACACGGTGTTTCCTTAAACTATATTCAATCCTTTAAAACTATAAAATGTCAAAAACTTTTCTTAAAATGTATACATCAAAAAATCAAAACAAAACGACAGCGTTGCCATCTTATTTGTTTAAACTATGTATATTTTTTGATATACTATGATAAAATGTTTTTCGTATACTTTGCATAAATAAACAGTAGGGAGAAAAGCAGATTACATACACAGTACGAAAAAAAAAGTTATATATAAATAAAATATTATAAAGAAGCTCTTTTGTAAACTATAAAAAGGCTGCAATATTAGGTCCACCAAGTTCCCATGGATAAATCGGAACGAAATTGAAAATAATACGACGTACGACTTTTAGTGGATATATAATTAATTGTAATTTATTTTTTAAGTAATTATTATGATATAAGACAAGAGCTTCTCGTAGTAAAACTCAAGTAAAATACAAGTAAAGTAAACTGAGAGCGTAACACAAATAAAGTGCCAAATGTCGTTCCTTACACAGATTTTGATGGAATAGCTTTGTGTAAAGTCTAGTGAGAACACCAGTACCGCGCAAATAACCAATACAAAAATTTAAATTCAAACCAAAACAGCTGATTCAGACATCACACAAATTGCACTTGAAATAAAATGTACGAGTAAAGTCTGTGTGACATTTTCAAATTTCGACTGGGATATTATATGGTGTTTATATTGGCCGAAAATGGCTCATTTTGAATGAGCCATTTGAAAGTGTTTACATTCGTTGTAATTCGTTTGTTCTCATTTTAAACAGCTGATTTTTCAACTAATCTATTGATTTGATTTTTGGCATGTGCCAAAAAAATGTTGCATGAAGGTTAAATATGCCTTTAAACCTTACAATATAAATTTAAAACATTAAAAACAGTTAAAAATCTTCGATTAATTAGTTTTTGGGAAGTAGAAGTTCTAAAAACAGATGCATCGTTTTCAAGAAAATGCAACCACCAAACATATGTGTACCTTTTTTTGTAAATATGTCAAAAACAGCTTTTTCAATCTGTCAAAATGGCATGAAGTGTTTTTATTTAGGGTATGTTCAATGTATTCCTTTGCATTCCTTTGCATAATTTTTAAATTATAATGAAATACGAATTATTGAATTATACGTATAGTGCTAGTATAAAATTCATTTGAGTATAAAGTGATTAAAGTGTGATTTAATATAAAATTTTTATGTAATTTCACATATAATTAACATAGAAAATTATAAAAGTGGTTCGGAATACAATTTATATATAAATATATTGTTATAGTAGAATATTTTTATGCTGAACGACGATCAGTAAGAAATTGCACTATCACAGATTATTGTTTTTTCATTAAAAACATGGATAATATGTTAAAAAAATAAAAGAATTAATTTTTCATGGAAAAGAAAAGAGTTCTTATAGGCTATTCGTCATACAATAATGCATGTATGTGAGTAGCATATAAGGTCGCATACAATAAACAAAAATAGGATTACGATTAATGCCTACTGCAATGACCGTTCGTGCAATACCTATTTGTTTGTAGATAATTTCAGAGGAGTTGTTGAGGTGTTGACCTCAAATAAAACCATACAGCACACAATTATTCAAAGCCTTGATTGACAAGTTTTTATTTAACGTAAAGTCGATTCTTGCACTTCATGCGTATTTTACTACAACATTTGATATCATTGTATCATAACTCATTATTGATACTGGTAATGATGTCCTAACCGTTTCGGAACACGTAATATTTTTTTGTATGTATACATTACAACCTTTTTAATATTATCATTATTTTTAAAATTTAAAATTTTTAAGATCATTTGTTGAACAGAGCTGGAGCCGAACGGTATCAAAATGTTACATTCATATGCAAGTAATTATGTATATATGAGTATTTATATATATGTGTTCATCTTAACGTATGTATAATAGTTTTAAAATAAAACAAATAACTTTTTTTTCATAATTTACTAAATTAGCTAAATTTTTTTCATTAATATTTTTTTCAGATACGAAGCTCAAATCAATTTTGAGCAATTTTTTGAATTTTTGCTGTTTTGGCAGTATCCTTCACAATAAGAACGGCCGTGTCACAAAACCGAGTAGACCGCAATACGTAAGTTTTTCAGTTTTCTATATATAAATTCAATATTTCATTTAAACCATATTTATATAAATAACTTTTTTACAGTATCTAAAGAGTATAAACCAAGAAAATAGAAGCGCCAGAACTACCGGCAGAAACACCAAAATTAACAAAACCAACTGCATTGGAAAAATTAGTTTCAAAGTCATCAGAAGAAGACTGTTTTGATTTATTATATTAACGTTGAAGTTATACCTATCGGTACCAACTTGAAAGAAGAGTGGCGTACTTCCCGCTCTGTAACTGGGTACTACAGGGCATCGTAGCATCAATGAATTTTCTCGACGCTTATGAACTGATTCTATTGATGATAAATAATATTCATGTAATAAATAATATAATTCTATTGTTAAATTCAGATATTTTTAAATCAACTTGTTGCTATGAACACTTTTACTTTTAAATTATATATGCTCTATGTGGTAATCATTAATATGCACTTCTCAATATTGTTTAGTTATGTATTTAAGATATGAAAACCGCAAATATTTCCATGAGTATTTCGAGAAATGAAAATTGAAAAGATTAAAAGTTAATTAAAAAAAGATCAAGCTTGTCAGTCATATAGATCATATGTATACAATATATAGGTCACATTTACATAAAATACAACAACAAAAGAGCAATATAGTGTGTTGAAAGGTCATTTGTATATAATGGTCGTATAATTATAACATCATTATGATGAAATTGTAAATCTTATATCGATTTTACTATATTAATATTTCAAAAGTGATATTTGCGATGGGATTTTCAACTCTCAGCCTACAGGGAGGAATTGATTTATACTCAAACTCAGTCAACTTGACTTTTTTCTACTTTTTCCACTCTTTGTAGTGTAGACAATTAAACAGAACTTTTCAAGTTTTGTTAGGTTCTAAACTGCGTGAAACTTTCCCGTCAGCTGTCAGAGTTCCACAAAATTCCCGTATTAGGCCCCTAGCTTTTTATTGGTTTTACTTCTAACATTCCTATTCCTTCCCGTAACGTTGAGCAGATTTGTTTTGTCTATGATTGAGTGATTTACGTTAAGCCTATATATCGGCGCAAAATTAACTCGCACCTTAATTCTCTTGTCAGGTATTACAAAATTTGAAAATCGAACCCAACACCTCAAAAAATTTTGGTAATTGCCTTTCTTGGAGGATATCGCAACCGTCCTAGGGGCTACATTTTCGAATTGAAGGCTCTGCTATTGGCCTTATCGATAGGCTGAATTACTTGAAATTGATTTTTACTCCTAAACACAATTGACTTTACAAATGCTCTGCGTCGATACAAAGCAGACCCATTTGCAGCCATTTTCCAAACTTTACTTTATTAAAAGTCTTCTAACATCGAGCGATTAGGTAACTTTTTATTACATCTAGCGTGAAGATACTTTAGCAGATATCATAATCTTTCCTCTGAAATGCTTCATCCAGTTTCGTTTTACCATTCTAACAATAAGAGGTACAAGCATCTTCAATTTCTGACCCTCTATCTCGATGATATCGTCCGACTTTACAATTGAAAGATTCGAAATCCCAATTGGAAGTTACGAAGAGCTGGAGATGAAAATCTATTGCCATTGAAATGAAATACAGCTTACTAATGAAGTTAAGGAGTGAAATGTGGCAATAGATCGACGTGAATTTTGCTTTCAAATTTAATAGCTAACTACAATGAGGCTTGCTTGATGATGTTTAGGAGAGTAGTTAGGTCGGTTCTGAAAGTTGTATACAGAACCCGTTTTGTTGACCCACGTCAACTAACAAAAAGTTAGCATCGTGATACTTTCAATAATTTTGGCTAGCGTCAAATTCATTATCTTTTGCTGAACTTAGAGAAACTGAAATATAAAAGAAATACATATAATCGCACTCACCTTTGTTAAGTTCATTCTATTTTGTTCACCAAATGAAATAAAAAGTGCAACTGTTGGCTTCCGTGGCTATTTTTATTTTGTACCACATTTTGGCGCTCATCGACATTGACCGTGAATACCAATGAGCTAATCATTAAACTGCACTTTCCTATTGCAATTCTTAGCAAATATTTAAATGTATCTCTTTGTATATATACTATATATACATATACTATAGCATATTATGTTCTCTTGTGTTGCTTGTATTTAAAAAATACTCGTAATTATGAATATTTTTGTAATATATTTTAGTTAGGTTCTTGCTTTATAGACGATAAGTACTTAAGAAGTATTCAAATAATTTTTAATTTTTATTAAAAAAGTACTCAATTTAATTATAAAAATGGGTAAAAATAAAGGAGGTGGTGGAAGTAGTGGTGGAAGCGGCGGTGGTGGTGGTGGAGGAGGAGCAAATGTAAGCAAGATTTGTGTTTTACAGTTACAGACGAAATGTTAGTAAGTCACACTTTTTGAATTGGTGGATAGGATAAAAAATACGTTATGCAATAATATAGCCTTAAAAGTATTAAACGTACTCACTTGTGGTCGGAAGCACACAAAAATTCTTGAAATTAGTGCAATATAAACGTAATATTATTGTTGTTGTAATCCATGCCTGTAATCCATGCTGAGCAAAGACATAAAGATATGATAAAACTGACGCAATTAAAAGAACAAAGTGATCGGGTACAAGAATTAAGTAAGGAGAGGGATTATTAAGAATATACACTTAGTGCAATATTTTTGTTTATTAACTGTAAAAACTGACCAGGCTATAATATTATAGTATAGAGGCCACAACCAGTATATACCAGTCTTAAACTCTTCAGCAAGTGATCTGAAGCTCCAAGTTATAAATTATTTCTATTTGTGTCATTAAATTAATTAAGGAAACCAAAGGTTAACATGAAAATTATTGTTCGGATTATCGGAAAATGATTGGATTAAAAATCAGCATATACGTATATATACGTCGTCATGATCGCAGTAGTTTTTGCAGCATTTTATTTGTTTTGATAATTAGGATAAACGAAATAGTTAAAAGGAATTTTAATGATGTAAGAATCAGTATGAAGATGAAAGTAAAATCCTAAGTGGAATCACAACGGACCTATGGCGTATCTCAATCTTAATACCTATTGTGGTTTGGATTATCATAATAATAATTATAATTATAATAAAAGTTAATATCAGTTATAAATGGAATAACAGTGGGAATTCATTGTTATTTAGGAAGAATTATTAGTGCAGCACTCGCATTGCAGTTTAATTTGAAGAACTGGATTTTAATAAGAAAAAATCTGACAAATTGATATACAGGGATAGGCGATCGAAGTGCTACCAACTTAACACAGGTATATCTGTCAAACTAATATTGCCAACTACGTGAAATTCATACGAATGATAGCTGTTTATATTGGTAACTCGCTACAACGCTAGTGCCAAGTAAGTGCCAAAACACCTAATATAATAGCAACAAATATCTCTGAGTTAAAGAAATTTATAAATATTCTTCGAAAGAAGTTTTTAGTAATAACTTTCTTGTTAATAACTCGATTTTAATAATTTTTGGATCAATTCAAATTAGAAAAAATAAACAAAATTTGGTGATATACTATGTGTAACTGCACTAATTTAAGTATTTATTTTAATATATTTTTATATTTAAGTTGAGTTGTTGAAATTGTTCTTATTCACTCTGTTTCGTGAGCTTTTTTTTTTTAATTTTTGCATTTAAAATATTTTGAAGTTTGACTTTGACTTCAAATTTCTCAAAATTGTACTACTCAACTTTTATATTTTTTTTGCTATTGATAGCTTGATTAATTCTCTATTAGATATACATATGTGCAATATGGTACCAGTTATAGATTTTCTATAAATGTATTTTTTAAAAAAAAGTCGATGTTGGTCAATTTTTATTTCCCTTCTAGTTTGAAAAATTCGCATCAGATTTCTAATTGGTGTATACCAATCGAAAGATCTTTAAAAATTCTATAACAATAATGTCTTTTTTTCAATTTATTCGTTTATATTAACATAAATATCCTTTTTTTAAACTTTTTTGTAAATAACACCCCTGTGTTTCCCAGTAAAGTTGCTAACTTGGCGCTGGTAGCTACGACAAGCTTTTGCGCCTAAGTTTTATAGAACAAAAGTTATTCGAAATGGAATTCAAACGCAATGGTGTGATTGCGTTATATTTGGCTGGAAAATCACAACCAGCTATTGTTCGTGAGCTCAAACAACTCAATGTAAATAAAATGTTTGTATATCGTACCATAAATCGTTATAATAGTACAGGCAGTGTCGCTAAACGCTACGGTGGTGGACGAAAAAAAACAGCAACATCACCGGAAATAGTACGAAAAGTAAAGGCTCGACTTAAACGAAATCCACTTCGTAGTGGTAATCAAATGGCCAAAGAACTGAAAATATCCCAACGGAGCATACGACGTATATTACAAAATGAGCTCAAGGTATACATGTATATTTATTTAACACTGTACTAATAAAAAAAATATATTTACTATATCCCAGAATGGTTTTTCTAGTTCAGTATTACAATGTTGACATTGAAGAAGCGTAATAATGCAGATGGTTGTAGAATCCTAACGATGAGTCAGACTGGAATTGAATGCATTTTCTAATTAATAAAAATCACAGTTCTTTATAATAATTCTCTTTATTGACTCGCAACTAACGTGTGCCTAATATTAAGTAGAAAAAAACCAGTCCCCAGATGTTCAGACATGATTGTCAATACACCTGCAGCTTGATGAGACTTAATTTATTAAAATTCTTAGCATAGTGACGTCCTTGTGAAAATGGTGTAAATTTTCATTACTTATTGTCAAATTGGAATACCGAAAATCAAAGTCTATTGAATTCGACAGATGATTTAATAAATTAGAAGGTTTTATTATTACATTGCCAAAAATTTTATAATTATTTTTCTAGTTATTACATTTTCTTTAGCTACCATCCTTTGGAAATTTAAAAAACACATATTATGCATAGTCTTTGTGAAGTTCCAGCTTTAACAATGCACAGAAAAAACTGATTTCATATGGAACAAATCAAGAGGTCTTCTCCAAATTTAGTTCTCGACTTTGTTCAAAAAATTTTTAAGGAGTTTGTGTAAATAAAAGTGAATTGCTTACAATAGGACTCTTCTGGCCGCAGTATTGGCTGTTGGGCGAATTCACGACAATAATCTAATTAATAATAATATTAGTTTACTATTACTTTTGATTATTCCGTTTAGTAATGTGACAGGTTATTTTGATTGTCGCCTGTGCAATGTCATTTAATCGATTTGTTTAATGATTTATATTCAACTTTTTGCATATTTCCTGCTGTTTGTCTACAGTTAAAACATTATAAAAGTTATAAAATACTTCTTTAAAATTTTTTTATTGTTAATAAATTTGTTTTGTAGAAAAAAGGCGGTGGTGCTGTTTCTGCAGATAAAGCTGGAAATAAAAATAAAGGACCTGCTGATAAGGCTGATAAATCAAGTGGCAAGAAAGGTCAAGAGCAGAAGAGTGGTGGCGGCGGTGGTAAAAAAGGTGGAAAGAAGTGATAAGAAAATTTTAAATTTGTAAAAGTTATTTAAAAATTTTGTACAAATCAATGACCTCATTACTAAAGCAAGAACCTAATCGTAGCCATAGGCTGATCCAATAGGTCATTAAAAAAGGAACACTTATAAGTTAAGAAATCAATTTGAAGTTTTAAAAATAGCAATTGTTATAAGCGATTTTTAAAAATAAAAAGAAAAATGTAAATGATTAATATTAAATTATTAATTTAATATTTAATGAAAATTGTTTAAAATGTTAAATTAAATATTTTTGACGATAAAATAAAAACAATTATAAATAATAAATAGTGTAGTTCAAGCAAGACAAAAAACTGTAAAAGTATTTATTTATAAACAATATATTGTTATTTATTGTTTTAATGACCAAATATTTTTAATAATAATTTTGTTTTTTAACGGATTAATTGGTCAATAATTAAATAATACACTTTTAAAAAAATGTTTGTTTTATAAAAGATTTTATTTGAACCTATGATTCGACTATATTCAATAGTCATCATCGGTGTACTATATAATGTTAATATAATGTAACAATATATATTTTAATATATATCACAAAGAAACAATTATACAACACATTAACATCAAAGTTCAGGATTATAAAGAAATATCGGTTCAATTAATAGCTTTTAAAAAACAAACACTTTTTAAAAAGTATATTATTTAACTATTGACCAATTAGTCCGTTAAAAAATAAAATTATATATACGATTTTATAACAATTATTACAATTTCAATACGTGGAAATTAATAAGGAAATGTATAGTTATTAGTTTAATTTATAACATAAAAATATTTCGAACACTAATTTATTATTATAAAATTTTTTATTTTAAAAACTATACAAATCGATTATATATTCATCTTGCTTCGCAAAATGAAAAAACTCACAATAATCGTAATAGAAGAACATTAACATATGGTATAATATAGACTTATTAAAATAACAATTTACAAAATTTAGATGAAAAACATTTAATATTTTTCTATTTAGTAATGTTTTTCTGTGCTAATATTAACATTATAATCTTAAATAATAAATTAATATATATTAATCATAAAAAGACAGTATGTGCATATATGTGTATTAAATTATATGTTGCTTTATTATGTTTAATGATATTGTTAAAATGATAAATAAAATTTAACTAAGATATAATACAGGTTATTTAATATAATAATCTAAATTTAATATTTACAATAAAAATTAATGCCAAGTATAACTGTCTGGATGATTGAATTCATATAAGAAAACAATATATTAACAAAATAATAATATATTAACAAAATAATGTGTTTTAAATAGGAATTTATTTATGTACTTTTGTTAACATACATTAATTAATATACTAAAAAGATTTAAATTATAGAAATAATCGAAGCTAAGTGTGTGGCAAAGTGACAAATTATAAAATATTGATTATTATACTTTGTTAACATTATCCTTGACTTTTATTGAAATAATTGTTCAGAAGTATCATACAGGAATGATATACGTTTCAAAGCCCTTTCTTATCAAGTAGTGAAAGTCTCAGGACTTTCATTTAGATAATATTGCACAGATTTCGTTTATGATACATACATAAGTGCATATGCGTAAAATTGTCATTACTTGGTTTGTTATTTCTGTCAACAGAATAACATTTATTTTGACATATATTATATTTATATATGTTTGTGTATTAAGATATTATCATTAATATTGTCGTTCAGTACAATCATATATACAGAATCGCTCATTACCGAAACCATTCCTGTGACATGGCACCGAAGAATGAAGAGGCTGAGGATTTTGCTTTAGTAGGTTCGCTTTTACGGGATGTTGTTGATTTACGAGTAGGCGTCGTCTGCTGCTGTTTATTGGATTAAAAAAGAAAGTCATTAGCAATTTATTAATAATAAAATTTATTAGTTTAAGTTAAATTTAAGAAAAAAGCAAAAACATAGTAACACAATCTTATTGCTTTACTTCATCAAAGTTACGTATAACGTAATTATTATTTAGTGCATTAATATTAATGAATGCTTAAATATACAGTAATTGTTAGAGCAAACTTTTAAAACGAGGTAGCAATCTACTGCTAAGTAAACGTTTTTAATTTTCTTATTTATTATTAGATATCCAAAGTAATAAATTAAAAAGTAATATCAAGTATGCAACAAAACCAACAGACTGCGCTAGCATCTGGTTTTTTATTTTTGGTATATAAACATTTAATTTATGCTAAATTTATAGTTTTATTAATATCAATTAAGCGCGAAAAAACTTAGTCCAATTACTGTATTTCTGGCTATTGCTAAAAAGCCTTGACAGGCATGCTCATATATTTTATAAAAATTACTCTAAGTGCTATTTTTCTAAAGTCAAATGAATATATTTTTAGGCTTTTCACTGTACACATAAGTCTTATACAATAAAAACGGAAAATGCAGTGAAAATGGAAAAACGGACAAACCTGTTGAATGGACAATTTTTCGCGAATTAAATGTTCAGCTTTTATCATTATTTGAAACAACCTAAAATTTTTGGCCGGACTCTAAACATGCACGAACTAAACTTGGCTAACAATTAGAGTTCACTCAAAAGAGTTTTTACGATAATACAATTTAATTTATTTCCAATTTTAAACATGGACTTAGGCAATAGTACTTTACTGTCTAAATTTATATTCAAGAAAGTGACTTAAAAATTTTATGATGCCTCCAAGAACTTTACTTTTGTAAAGACTTTAAAGAGCTCTATGTTCTTCGGTCTGAGCATTAATCCGTTAAATATAAATTACAATTTATTATTTTATTTGTATATTGCTTATTTATACAGTAAACTCTGCTTATTTTTAATATAATTAGGAAGTCAATATTATATTAAGCTGGATTAATTGATCCAAAAACGAATATAACATGTAAAGAAATCTACACCAATATAGTTTTACAATGCAAATTAAGTTAAAATGCGAATTTCAAGTTTAGGTAATAAAAACGGTAATTAAATACTAATATTGTAAAGGATTATTAAATTATTCAGCAAAGCGTGTACTGCATACTTATCAAATATATAAAAACAACAATATACATGCTAATATATTAAGTTTTAACTGCACTTAACTACCCATTAGCTTAACTTAGTTTATTAATACTCAACTATATCAATAGCACTCAAAGTCTAAATCGTAGCGGTAGTTTAGGAATTAAAATCCTTTAACTGGTATTTAAGAAAAAAACGTATACAAAAAAGAAATATCATTTATATAAAATACTTATTATAAATACATAAATTATGTATATACATACCTTCTCGTTTTCTAAAGCAACTAAATTTTTGTTATCCGTTATCATATTTGTATTATTCACATTTGTCACAATTGGCAAAAGTGGGAACCACACTGAAGTTGTACTGCTTGAACTTAAAATCAAAACATTTGGATCTTTCTCCTGTGTCAGTGTTAGAGTCGATGCTGTTGTTGTGTGAGCTGCGTGTGGGGTTAGCACGCCTAGCATAGATTTTAGTCTACTAACTGCACGTTTGACATTGTTTATTATTTGCTCATGGAAAAGTTCAAAATCGAATGGATCTATAATATCCTTAAAGAAGTTTTGCAAAGTGCTAAACTGTGCACATAGTTCACGTTCATCACGTGGTACTGCAAACACGTTTTGCAGAAACTTTAAATCGAAGTAGTATTGTAATGCCAACTTTTGTCCGACATGATTATCCGTGGCAACAGTAAATGTTTGGTAATGTGCTAGAATATGTGTAAGCAATTTGTGGTTGAATACACAAAGCACTTTTGGCGGTAAGGTTTGTGGCACTACATTGTTCAGAACACGTATTAAAGCGAACAAATATGTTTGTAGTGAAATTGAAGGTTGATTTGGTACATGCAATGTCGAATTTATTGTATTTTCATGTTCATCTTTTTGCTCCAAAGTAAAACTTTCCCAATTCTAGAAATATTGATAATTTTATACTGATAATTTACCATTACTATAATAAAATTGAATTATATTATCACTTACTGCGAACTCAGTTATACATAAGTCATTCGATATCCTTGTTGGTAAGTATTGACTGCATTCATTATCTAGCAAAATGCCATCCAATAATTGTTGCCAAAAATTGAAAGTTTCTTCATCCAACAACCCACACATACGTTGCCAATATTCTATATTGTTGGCCGCTATGTTACCAACCCATTGCCGCCAACTGCTTTGTTGACAGAAACAGATTTTTAAATGTGGGCATAGCTCAATAAGCGCTGAGCAAGTGCGCAGTACTAGCAATAGTTCTTTGCGTTGCCTTTGAGTTAAATTGAAGCGTTTAATTCGGGTTATAAAATCCATTAAATTTGTTTGCGCTGTTTCACGCAGAAAGTCTATTAATGCTAATTTCTCTTCTGCTCTTGTCGCCTGTTCAGCGAGTAGTACATCCATCTCAGAAACTATATTTGCCAGATGTTGGTCAAATTCAGTGCATAGTTGTATTATGACACTACTATATCCACGTGTTTTCATAAGCAATTTTTTTGTCTTTCGATCCTCGTTTAATGCTGCCTCCAAGCTTAATGGCAAATCATTTGCACTATCAGCCCATATATTAAAGTCTATTGGGGCTTCTTCCATTAAAGCATTTTGTAGCGTTTCATATGCTCTCTGCATAGCTTGCAGCCAGCTGTCATGTATTATATTACGCACCCGCTGATTAATTAATGGCACATACTTTAACTCATAAAAATCCAAGGTTTGCGTGAGCTCAAATTTTTCTGCAACATAAGAAAAATCAATATGCTTCCGACTTAGTTTCGCCTCATTTTTGATTTCCTGTATTGTACCCATTGTATTGACAAAATCAAAGAGATTCTTTAGTTGTGAATTAGCTATGCGTGATATATCTGCAAGCCAATGTTCGAATGTGAGTTGCACTTGTGATTTATCAAGTTGCAGTACTTCATATTTAGGACGAAAGTTTGCTATTATATCAGGTACCAAATAGGAAAGCTGTAAATCATTACTATCCATAAGGGCTATTGTTGGTGGAGCATTTGCATCGGTATGTTCAGAAAGTTTACTAGAGAGCAGGCCATTGTCTGTTAGCAGCCAAAAATATGCTATTAAAAGTGAATAAATTTTATGATTTCACAATACTTACCCATAAAACATGTGCGTATGAGTTCTATGCTATTATTTAATATTTTCAAACTAGCTAATATACGTGCTCTTACACGTCTGTTGTGTACATCTACGTTTGATCCGTCACTCAAACAATTTAAATAAGCTGCACAACGTAGTTGTAAAAATATTTTAAATACTCCATTTAAATTATTTTTTTCCAATAACAATAAACTTAGCAAACACTCGACGGCAACTTCAGCACTTAATTCTTCACGTTCCAACATATTTATAACGTTGTTTTTTATGGTAACGTGGAATGGTTTAAGTATTTCCCACTGTTTCTTCGCTATTGGGAATTGTTTCATTAATGTGTTGTGAACGTCCAGTTGAAGACCAGTGCTTATATGCCGACTAAACACGAATAACTCTGTAGCTGTGTAAAATCGTTCATCATCAATATGTGACCATATCAGTTCAGGCAATGATGTTAATAAGTTTATTTGCACCATTGTACTGAAATAATTGTTAAGTTGTTTGTTAGTGTTGCGATTTTGTAGCAAATCCGATGTATCGCTTGTTTGGAAGCCTATTAGTTGCTGTTCATTAAGTTTTTGACAATTTTCCGAAATACCAATCACTTGCTGTATAAGCTTGCAAGAGGAATCCTGCATAGAGGTAATTGTGTCCGCTGCTTTAAGAAGATCTCTGTAGCTCTCACTGTTTACAAATATAAGTATATTTATATTAATTACTGCCTTACTTATAAAACTATTACATTGACACTCACCCAACCATAGTACGTAATTCCTCGCGTTTACTTTCAATCACAGTTTGTATCCTTCTATGGACAATTTCTATATCTGGTATACTGTGTTGTTCGAAAAGTGTGTCCACATTTAAATCCGTTAAATTTACATTAGCCATGTTAACTACTATTTTATAAACCACAATGAAAATCACAAAACACAAAATCGGCAAAGTTTGTTTAGACACGTATTTGACAGTCAGCTGTATGGCAAGTGGCCACGAAGATGTGAATGAACTGGCAATGGAGAGGTATGATTTGGCATTTAGACTGCCAAATCAAACTATTTCAAATCTGACAGTTACAAATAAAATACTAGCAGCAGTAAACTATATCGATGAAAAAAATAATATATATATAAGATAATATAATACTTATCAAATAGTTTAACTTTTTTAGAATTTCAATATAATTTGCAACGTGCATAAAAATTATTGAATAGAAAAAACATAGTTTGCCTGCCATATATTAAAAACTAAAAATAATATTTATTTTAATTGTTTTTGTTAGCAAAAATTTTAAACAATTAAAGACTCAATTAACTACTTTTAGAAATTGTTTTATTAAGGCAATCACAATGAATTATCTTATCACACGTGGCAGAGTACGTGGTCAAGTCATTGATGTACCCGATGGATTACCGGAATTGTTGTCTGATATAACGCGCGAAGTCTTACGCTGTCAACCGACTACAGAATGTCTCTGTCAATTTATAATTGATTATTTAACGTCTGTTATCCGAACACGTGAAAAGGCGCACAGTAAGTTACAATTCTATATATTATTCTATTAGCTTCATTAAAAAAACCTTTATATTTACAGTTGCAAAAGCTATTATTGACCGTGCTTTACGTGAGGTCGATGAAATAATTGGCGATTTGTGCATTTGTGATATACCGGAAGATAAAGGTGAGAAGTTGTGTTTAGCAATGGAGGATTGTTTCAAACGTTTCCTTGAAAAACAACGCTGTGAAAGAGGTCGAGAACGTGATGTGATTAAGTTTTATGACGATGATATGTTAGATGAGTTGATACGTCGTTGTAGATTTTCGGATGAGGAACTTAAGATATCACGACCTGTTATCGAAGATGCTTATAATCGTTTCGTGCAAGCGTATTTGAACGCATCAAAGGTGAGACTTGAACGTCATCTGTATTTAAATTGTATTTGAAATTTGTGCTTCTTTAATCAGAGTGCAGATGGATCTGACTTGTTATATCAATACTTTATGGCACGTGAAATAAAGCGCAGAGAAGAACTAAAGAGAGAAAAGGCCGCAATCGCTATACAGGTAATTTAAAAACAATATTTTCCAATTAGGCTTAGGACTCTAATCCAGTATCCTCAGTTTATGCTGAAATTCAATTTCCTGATATAATAAATAGAATATAAAAGCAATTATTGAAACTAACATTTTTGAAAATTTTGAACTGAGTTTAAGAAATTTTAGCGACATACATGCGGTTCTAGTACATATTTCTTTTTTGCAATTAATCTGATTCAGGTTTGGATAGTCTGATATACAATGTTTTTATAGTTTATGTAGTTTTTATGGTAACTATAGTCCATATATTTTTGCAATGTACAAATATAACATAATTGCAAATCTTTAATCGTATTGATTTAAAATGTGGGAATTGTTGTTTACGAATTATAGTTTTGGTTCTTATGGTTTACATAAATCTGGGACCTGTAGTTTTTTTTTTGAAAGACCATATAGTTTTTTGAGCATTGTCTTAAGATTTTTGCTCTGTAATAATACTGATCGTACAGAGATCTTAAGAGATCTAATTTTTTTAAGCATCAACAGTAAACTTTGTTTTATTATTATTAATATTATTATCTATATTATAAATAGTGCCTTTTTTTATCAATTTTGGTAGGCCACATATCGAGGTTACAGGGTGCGCAAACAAATAAAAGAAGAGTTATTATTACTTCAGGTAAGTTGATACGTTTTAATTTTTATATTATCATAATAAAAATTTTATAAACTTATGTTCAATCAAAATGCATTTTTAGCGTCAAAAAGAAAGAGAGGAACAAGAAGCAGCTGCTAAAATCATACAAAGATTTTATCGTAGAAAATTCGGAAGACCAGTAAGTCAGAACTATTATACTCGTATTAAGTATTAATTTTTTTCTAATAAATTCATTCATACATTTCATTTTATAGGATTATGAACCTGAGGAAATGGAGGTATTAATATTGTACTTTTCGTATATATAATTGCTGGAAAATATGAATTTACTCATTCTTATTATGTAAACTGTTTTTAATTAATGTGTGCTAATTAATTTTCAGATGGAATCATCAATTATTTGCACGCCTTCTTCAGAAGTATCTTTAGGCACCAAGGTACATAACATAATAAACTATATACTCCATATTTCAATATATAAAAATACTCATTATTGTTATATATTTTAGTTTGCTACGGTGCCAGTGACACCTCCAGAGTTGAAGGTATTTGTTATGTCTATAAGTAAATTTTAATTTGATATTTTTAATATATTTAATATAAATTAGGAAGGAGAGGAAGAACAGTTAGAAGACAAAGAGAAAACGGAACCAGAAGAAGAAAAGCCTGAATCTGAAATTATGCCATCACGTATTGGTGAAGTGAAAGACGAATTTGAAGAAAATAAGGCACAATTCCAACAAGAGCTACAAGCCCAAGCTCCTGAACCTATTGAAGAAAATGAGAATGTTAACGATGCACAACCTGTTGAGGTAATCGAAGAACCTCCAGCCGCAGAAGTTGCCGCTGGCGAACCTCCTGCCGCCCAGGAAGAAGCTCCTGCTGCACCAGACGCTCCTGCCCCAGAATAATAAGATTGAGCAATTAATAATGAGCAATGGAAATGCAGAATTTTTTAAAACACCTATTTTTATTGGTTAATATTAAATGAATATATTTAATATATAATTTTTGCTATAATTCGGAATAAAAACTGAGTTGAAATTTAATGTGGATTTTTGAAGTTATTGGATTTAAATATTTGTACCCTTTCTTAAATTTTTTTTTCATAGAATACATTTCGGTTATTTTATTTTTATATATTTTAAAATATTTTATATGCGAGTAGGAGTACTCAAACCCAAACGCACATTCCACTCATAAAAAACTTCTTATTTTATGAACCGTAATATTAAATGTGCGGAATCATGGAGCGCAACGTATTTAAGTGACGTGGGGGTGGCAAATAGACAGAACTTTTTATAGTAAGTCCTGTCAAATACTGCACTATTTACATGATTACGCTTACATTTAGTTTTTTAAATAAATTTTTTTTTAAGATTATTTTTTTATTTTTTTTTAAATAATGCTATAAAGCTTAATTTTTTTTGTTATTTAATTCTATATCAGATATTTAATTAAAATAAATTATAGATTTATAGATTTTTATTTTTTTTAATTGTAACTAATTGCGTTAATGGTTGCCCATTCAAGATCTTTTTCACATACATTAGTACATTTCATACATTAGTAGTATTTAAACTTAGCTCTATAATTCTATAACTCGGTAACGTTGTTAATTCACATAAACAAATATACAGCTTTATCATTTACTGAGTTAACGAGTAGGTATGTATATTTGAATACTCTTATTAAGTCACTTTAAAATTGGGCAACTTTTGTAAAAGACGAAATTTAAAAGGACAACACAACACAGTTACATGGTTGTTTCAGCCAGGATTTCATAGATTGAAGGTAGTATCTACTTAATAATATTTTTTATCGTGAAAGGGGGCGTGCTTGGAATAGATCATCATATATTTAATAATATGATGGTACTTTAAATAGAGAATTCTTCCATGGCTGGTTGTAGAAGCACCGATTTCAATGAAGTAGTTTTTAAATATTCCTCAATTGATTAATGATAAACTAAGTTATCACACTTATTTAAGAAATTATCTTCAATATGTAATTGAATCATCAAAAACGTACGTCTTTGACTTTTTCAAACCATCTGAAATAAAAGTAAAAATATGTAGTGCAACTGGGCCACTTAAGTATTATAGTACAGTGAGCTATATAGTAGTGTTTGGTGAAAACAGTAGGACAACGGGAATGTTGTCATTATTCATAGTATATCTTCCCTGTCTGGAGCCCTTAAACATTTTATAAATATCATTTAAAAATTGAAAAAACTAAGAGACCTTTCTATATCACTATATAGTGTACAGTTGCTTCAAATTTGTGAGCAAATATTTTTTGAATTTATTGTTTTTAATGCTAACAAATACAACTCTGAAAATGATCAACCTCGGGTTTTTTTTTATTAAAATTGTTTATAATAATTTTTATTATCGACCGACTTCAAGTGCTTCAGAAAAGAGAGTGAAGCAAGTATCATGCTATAATAAAATTTTTTTAAATTTAAATATTAATTATTGAGAAATAAATCCGAGTTGAATGAAGAGGGATTATGAGGATTCTGTACGATAATATATAGTTGCAAAACGGTGGATAGCTGACTTGAAACATGGTCATACTAAATTTTTATATTAAGACTGTTGTGGATGGCCTACAACTGTCACCGCCGATAAAAACCTCAAAAAAGAGAAGAGCATAAATTAATTCAAAATGGCAAATGTTGTTGATGCTGTAGATGTTTAGCTTAATAGCATTTAGAAAATATTGTATAAAGATTTGGACATAAAAATCCTTTCGCGCGTTGATACCTTATTTGTTGATAATGGACCAAATATGTAATTTTTGCAGTTTTTCTGTGTTTTTAGCGGAGAATGTTAAAGCTTAAGTTTTTGAGATGACAAGGTTTTGTTGCTATTTTGTTTACTTGAAAATTGCTTCGATATAGGTGGAAAATCAATTTTTAAGACAGAAAAATTTAAGTTCATCTACACAATGATTTGATTTAAAACGAATATTTTTCTTTATATAAAAACCTTTCGAAGATCCTGTGTGTTTAGTTAGCTGTAAATAAATTTCTAAACAATTTCGAGTTAGTAAAATAAAGAATAAAATGAGTTATGACATATGATCTAGAAGCTTATCTATTACCAAAACTTCATAACTTTGTTTTAAAATTAGTTGATACTTCTAAGTGCTGTATATGAGAGGTGTTGAAGAGTTATTGCATCATATTATATTTAGAAATTATTATTTCTAAAGGTACTCAATAACCGATTAACCTCCGCATCTATCGTACATTGCTTAATAAAACATGGGTGTTTGTTGATCGAATATCAATTGATGTAGTAGTCTCTTCAGGAACAAAGATTTATTTTTGTTTTTCTACCACTAATGCAAAAACATAAAAATGTTCGATCTGTGACTTCCAGAAGTCAGTTCTAATATACGTTATTGTACATATGAGAGTATTAGGGATGAGGGAATATATGTTTCAGTTCCGATTCAAAAGAGCAGATTATTTCCTTATAATAGACTGCAGTTAACATAATAACGGAGTGTGTTAGATCCGAAAACATATACAAGATTTTTTAGCGATACTGGCTTTTTATGATAAACTAAGAAATGCAGGACTATTCCATTTTCATGAATAAATGGGTAACGGCCCACAGCTGTAAACTTTTGGTTTAAAAAAAAAGTTATTAAAATTATAATTGTCTATGTTTTTTTATTGAATGGGCGAAACATGGTTAGTTGTCCATAGGCACCGAATTTCTTTTATGTGTTTAGTACAGGCACGTGTGTAAGCATCTCACCAAAATGAATCGAAGGATTATATTTATACTTATGTATATCTATCATTAATGCTATTATTACTGTTTGTTAAGATGAATTTTTTCTTTTAATTAAAATTAAAATTTTTCACCAAAAAAGTTAGTTATATGATTGACACGAGATTAAGATATTATTGATACTTAAGTATATCCACATCCATGTAGTTACATCTTGTTAAGTTAACATACTGGTTTGTCAAACTTTTCGATAAAACGGGTTATGACTAACTGACTCTTCTTCTTCATAGGAAAAAATATTATGATAATTATGCTATTAAAAGCTCTTATATGCTTTCTAATAGCACTTTTTAATGAAGAATTCTTGATCATTTTATCTATATAAGTGTAACATGAGTTGACTGTAATGTTGTAAAATAATATATAATATTAATATAATATGTGACAATGGATGTTGGAATCAATGAAACAATAGTTTACGGACATCACAGATATTGAAAAGCATCAGTAAGACTTGGAAAGCGTAAATGCTTTACTAATTTCATTAAAAAATAGTGAATGCTATTCCGTTATATATGTATGTTTTACACTTTTTGCCTAAATCCGAAAAAAATGATACTTTGTTTATAACAGATATTCAAATTGACTTCGTAGACTATCTTTATTGGTATTTTTTTTTTTATTTATTTAACAAAAGTCAAAAGATTAAAAGTCAGATCAGAGACTTGTGAGATTATGTTATATATATCAAAATATTAAATGACAACTAATATTGTTCTCTGTCAAATTGAAAATGCTATTGTTATACGAGTTTAAGTATGTACTACAATTAATTTAACGATTAATTTTGACCAATGATCTGGGAAATGGTGCCAAACCTTTAGTGTTAGTTGTTGACCATCTGGGGCATCGATTATATATTTCATTCTAGATTTTTCTAGCTTTGCTAATGTTACAACTTAGCTAAATATGTTAATATAAATAATATAGTATATAGTATAATTCTTAACATAATTTATGAATTGGAGAGCTATATTTCTTTGAAGGTGGACTACTGTAATAAATTTATTTACTATATGTTATTTGTTCCATTATAGTATAATATATAGTACATCATTATATATTATATGGTAGAATATAAGTTATAGTATAGGGTATTTACAGCACATAATATACTCGATTTTAATTGAGTACCAGTCAAACGTTCCAGTTTACAGACTTAAAATGAATTCAGTACATTTAAACTTTGACCAGCATAACTGAGTGTGACATTTATTATTTCAAGATCAAATTGAAATGTTGATTGGATATACATAATTTAAGAGTTTATCTATGCAAATCATTTATGCAGAATTAACGCGTTAGCTTCAACCTTTAATCTAACATATAAATAGCTTATAATAAATTAGTTCAATTATTATTACGGATAACAATTAAGAATAAATTGAACAAAAAATGCGGAAAATTAATATTATTGCTAAATATAGTATTTTACTCATAAACTTAATAAATTTAGTAAATGGTTATCAAAGAATCGGTAATAATATGAACACCCAAAGACAAAATTTCGAATTGTTGCAATTAATATTCTAATATTAATTAATAATTAGATAATTAGAATAATTTATTTTTTTATTTTAGCAACAAAAATGTTTTAATAATTTTATATTTTCTTTTAGTTCATCCGTATAAGTTAATTTATGGACAAAATACAACACAACGGATTGTGGGTGGAGTAGATATACCAAGAGGCACTTACGTACCGTACCAGGTTTCATTACAATACCGTGATAGAAGTAACGAGTTTCACCATTACTGTGGTGGTTCTGTTCTAACGGCGAAACATATCTTAACTGCTGCACATTGTTGTCTTGGCTTGAACCCTAAACGTATCTCTGTTTTAGCAGGGGTAAGAGACTTAAGAGATAAGACTGGGCAACGGGTACAGGTTGTGTCATACGATATACATGAGGATTATCAAGAGTTGTTCACAGCAGATATTGCAATACTACGTTTGGATTCGCCACTTCAACTGGATGGTGTAGCAGTTGCACCAATTAGTTTGAGTGGTACAAGTAAAATTGGTGGTGGTGTTCGAGCCACACTCACAGGTTGGGGATTACGTTTACCCGTACCTTTTCCGTTTTTACCATCTCATTTGGAAAATATTAACTATCCTACCACACTACAAACTATGAACTACAGCACTGTTTCAAACAGAGATTGCGAAAATAGTGGTATTCAGTTAACTCCTGCTGAAATATGTGCCAAAGGTTATTTCCTCAGAGGCGCCTGTTCCGTAAGTTTTTTTACATATTCTGTAAACATTTTTTAATGTATTTAATATTTTTAAGGGTGATTCTGGTGGTCCTTTGGTTATACATACTCCAAACGGCTTACGTCAAGTTGGAATAGTTTCTTATGGCTTAATTATTTGTGGAGTTTTTGATGTGCCTGATGTGTATACTAGAGTGTCAGCATTTCAAAATTGGATAACAAATCGTATAAAGTAGATCGCTGATGATTTGAAATTGTCAATTAATTATAAAAAAATTTTTTGAAAACGTATTAACTATTATTTTATTTAATAACTGCTGCAAAAACCCTTATTCTTCCGTAACATAATATTACAATATTCCATGTAGATTTTTGCTTCATATAGAAATCTGATACACTCTAAACAGATATTGTTTATACTTTCTTGTAATCCCACAATAACTAACTTTAGACCCGAACAAATCAACTACTATGCTTAGTACAGGTTGGGATTGGTTTTTTCATAACTTATATTGAGACATAACAACGCCACTTAAGTGATGAAGTCTTTTTCTGTAAAGAACTGAGCTATCGCTGACCATTTTATTAAACCATAGTCATAAGCTCGAAGAGCCTTGACTTATTTAAGTGATAGAATAAGTTGCAGTGACTTGTAATATTATCAGATTAAGTTCTTAAGTCTATCCAGTCTAGCGAAAGCTTCTTATTCAATATTCCCTTTACTTGTTTTAGAAATCATTTCTTAAGCTAGTGTTCTTAAACATGTTAGGATATCTTTATTTTGGTTAGGTAATCTGTCATTTAATTGTCTTCATGTTTGGATATCATTTTAAAATTACTGGACTGAAGTTCCTTTACATATTGAGAAGGTTTAGTTAATCATATACTATATTTGAGATAGTCGGTATAGTCAGATTTTCAGACATCTTTCCGCCACCATTCTACTTTTTTTCTAACTTCGACCCATCTATGAATCAAATGTGTGAACCAGTTTTGAAAGAAATAGAATTTGTTCTCAAGACCTCACTTCGTTGATAACGACGTGGAAGTTTCTGAAGAAGACCAGTTTTTAGCATGATGTAAAATGGAACTATGAAGAAAGTTTTTTAAAACTTTAAGATGCCAATTTACATTTCTCGTTTATAACTTCGAGAATGTCGTCTGGTCAAAAGGCATCTAGAGCAGATTAGGAAGAGGTGGGATGTCTAAAAAAACTCGTAAAGCATTCGTTTAGGGGGATTTTACTAACCCATTTATACTTATATAAACTAAAAGTTACAGTTTGCTTCGTTCCCTGTCTGCATTTCTTTGTTTGATTTGGCCATCATTTCAGCGAGGCTTAGGTGACTATCATAAATCATAAAGATTGTCTTTCAATATCACTCTCTCTTTATTAACATTAACATATTAACAAATTTAATTATTCATTAACATTATATTTCGGATTTATGTCATTCGTTTTTGTATCCAATCATCAAACATTGAAACACGTGTATACACATCAGGACTGTTAGTAGCACAAATTGCAGTACCATAAGAAACTACACCGACTTGTTTAAGACTTTCTCCATTTTGCATTACTAAAGGACCACCAGAGTCACCCTGAATACAATTATTTTAAATTATAATTATTTATTTAACTAATAGTTATGGTTTCACTTACTCTACATGCACCTTTTCCGACTCGTTCCAATGCACAGATCTCAGTATCCGTCAGCTGCGACATAATCAGTTTGCAATTATCGTTTGTTATTGTTTTGTATTCAAGTTTTTGCATACGTGTAGGTAATCTATTGAAGATTCCTGGACCGAAATACCAAAGAGCTCCCCAACCAGTTATAGTGACGGGTTGACCCCCGCCAACTCTGTCGTTACCAGTGACATCTATCTTATCAACCTTTTCACCATCCAATTGCAATGGTGGGTCTATAGTTAAGATAGCAATATCGCTAGTAACGAGTTCCTCATAGTTTTCATGCATCTCATAGGACAGTACTTGTGAGCGCTGTCCTCCTTCATCAGTTAAATCTCTTATGCCTGCTAGAACAGAAATTCGCTTTGCATCTTGTCCGTTTACACAGTGAGCCGCAGTTAAAATACGATTTGGCGATAATATGGAACCTCCACAAAAATGATGTTGTTTACCATCTCTAGCTTTGAATTGCATCGAAATTTGATAGGGTACAAATTCGTCATTAGAAATCCCTGCACCACCCACAATACGTTCTTGAGAAGTATCACTGTCCTGATTTGCAAAGTGTTTATCGACTAATGAAAATAATTAATAATGTAAGGCAGGAGCAGGATATTTAAACGAGGAAAATAATGTTTAACTTACGATCCAGTTGTGGCTTACTCCATGCTGTATTAAGGAATACTAAGCACAGTGTAAATGTAAAAACTTTTAGTATCATTTCGACTATGAAACTATTTGTTACTGTTTTGAGGTTTAGTATTCCGTCCGCCTTTTTATACCAAAACTGTTCCAATGTTTTAACCTATTTATTTTCTAAGGTTAATATCACAGTTGGAGAAGTATTAACATATCGCTCTTCGTTGTGGGTGGCACTACAAATAACTAACATTGACTATTTGGGGTTCTGCATATATAAAAAGAAAATTAATTAAGCCAACTTAAAACAAATACCAAGAGTTTTTTGATATTTTATGTAAATTTATTATAATAATTTTAAAAGCAGGGACGGTTTCTCTATACAAGGTATTTAAAATAAATAATTTACTTACTTAAGCTCTAGTGGGAGTTAGGAATGGCAGTAAGTAAGTGTACTGTGGTTAATATATATTGTGATATTACAATTTGTTGATTTGTTGTACTTTGTAGCATATTTTTTTATTGTAGATGGTTGAACATAAGAATTTTTGTAGACAAGAATATATTTTAATGTCACAAAACATAATGCATTCGAAGTTTAATTTCATAAAATGTTTTTATAAAGAAAAAAATTAGGACGGTAAATCTAGAACCAAAATAACTAAAACTAAGATAAGCCAGAACATGCCTGGTGACCTCAAGCCTGGTGAAGGAGTCTTTAAAAAATTAAATATCTTGATCGGCAACGAAATTGCAGACAAATTTATCTACCTCTCTTAAAAAGAGAGGATCATCTATTTAAAAAGAATAGAAGAAACAAATAAATCTATATTGGAATAATTTGCCAGGGGTAATATATTCGAAATTTCTTTCAACCAAAAAGAGTTAAAATATTGTATGCAACTAAGTAAAAATAGTTTAAGATTCATTTTAGAAATTCTGAAATATGTTAAAGTATTATCTTATAAATCTGGAAACTTACTCTAATGAAACATGTAAATTTTGTTCGAAAAAAAATGCACAAATCAAAACATGTGTAGGAGTTTGCCCAATACTGATGCATAAACGAATGAGTATATAAGAGGTGGGCATCTCATATCAGGTAAAAATTTTGTAAAATAAAACTTTGTAATGTGTGTGATTTCAATGCCACAATTTATAAAGTTAGACTTGAAGAAATACTCTACGTGCATGGAAGGTGTTCAATAAATCTATAGATCGCGAGAGTTCTCTAAATATAAAAATAATAATATGTGCCCACAGACTTGTAATTGACAAACCTAATGTAATTTAGATCCATATGAGCGCAACGGATTTTAAACTCTGACTAATAAATGATGATCTTTCTGGTATGGATAGATAACAATACCTTAGTCATTGTTTTAAATTCTGACTAATAAATGATCATCTTTCTGGTATGGATAGATAATAATAATTTAGGTATTGAATCCCATTGGAATAAAGAACTGCTAATATAGTTGATTTTTTGTTTTACTGATGATATTGATTATAATATATTGTTATTATTATAAATAGGTTGTGCATGCACTGCGACCTGAAAGATCTTTTGTGGAGCCTTTCACCCAATTAGGTCAATTCAAATTTCTTTTGAAGAAATTGTGATAATGATGGGCCGTTTTTTAGCTAGGTGTTTTTAGGGCTTTAAACTCCATTGCCTTGATAGTTAAGTCTGCGTCTTGGCATAGCTGGGCAGGCATGACAGAGTCGGCAGGAATCGTTTTCTGCTACACTAATCTTTTATAGATGGTATCACAGTCTACAGTGACCCATTAGCAGTTCCGTGTACAGTTTGATATCTGTTCTGCTTAAGATTAGAACAGCTTTAGCATTTATATGTTTTTGACTGTCGCATATCTTTTTGGCTCTCCAGAAGTCAGTTGGATTTGTTTTTCCCGTTCGATTACTAGGCTGGTTTTGAAGCTATTGTTAGCACCGCAGAAGGATTCTGGGCCTACGAAATGTGTTTCTGATCCCTTTTTGGATATGGATTATATACTATAGTATTAATTTCATAATAAGCATTGGCACTAGTTTTATTATAATAAGCATTCGATATTTAAATTACTTAATTAATAACTTTTATAAATGAAAAAAGAAAGTAATTACTTTCTTAAAAAAAATGTATCTAAATTGAGTTGGATAGGGTGGTGCATAAAATTGTATTACTTTCTGAGTACACAATTTTTATTAAATGGTGTGTTTTATTAGATAAAGTTCAAGAAATATTTTGTTTTAATACATATAATGAGCTATTAAAATAAGTTTTATAACAAACTAACTTTACTTAGTCATTCAGTATTTTAATATTATTTTATGTGGCAAAAACAAAAAAAATATTATAAATTTAAAGTTGCCAACAAAGTTGGAATAAATCAAACACCTTTGGTGGCAATATTCTAATTAAATATGCAAATTTAACTGCACGTATTTTTGTTTATCAGAAGTTAAAAAGGTGCGACATAAAGTTATCAGGTATATCTGTACGAGTGGCTTTTAAGCACTGCTTAACCCGTTCATGTCAAGCTTAACGAATGTGCACCATAACAGCACGAGACAATTATATTCAGACTATCGATTTTATAAGACAAAAAACATGCAGACAGTAGATATTAAAAAAAAACCAAAAAAAATTATCAAAATTTAAATGAAATAAAATATATTATTTAATTATTAAAAATTAACCTTTAGAGATCTTATATCATTTTATGTGGTCTACTTCCATTTGACCACACAAAAGTGCAGTATAGGCATCCTGAGCAAAGTACACACATCCGATAATAAAATATTACAAAAAACTATAAAACTACACTTGATCTAAATCATAATGCCAGGATCAAAGAAAGCGCTGCCTTTAATGGCTTACTCCACTTGTTAACATGTTAACAATATTTAGAATTATAGTTTTCAAAAGAAAGATGATTCGAAAATAGTTTACCGCTTACTATAGTAGGAAAAGGCATAAAATTTGAAAAAATTAAATAAAATATTCTTTCATTAAAAATAAAATAAAGAATTTTATGTCCTATGAGAAAAAATATATTTCGATTAGAAGAGTGGGTAATGGATGGAAAATTTTAGATCCAAAAAAAATGTAAGCAAATGAATCTTTGGCCAGACCACACAGCTGTTTCGTGGACATCTGTTTTATATGTTTATACTCGAGGCTATATGCTCCAGGAGAAGAAGTGGACAACAGTAAGTAAGTAAGTAAGTAAGTAATACGTGAGTCTACGAATCAAATTGGACAGGGTTTAATTCCTGACACTTCCAGTACATATATTATATGCTAACAAATAAATAAATAGATTTTCAAAAGATTTCTGATAATGGATATTTTTTGATATCGGAAACAACTATAGGTTTGTTCAAAGATTTAATTGATTACAATTTTTTTGGTTTCGAGAACTTCGTTATTTTAAATTTATTAAAAAATATCAATTTGTTTCTATGATTTCCATTTTTATATAATATGATATGTGTATGATTCCAAACTGTATGATTAGCTATTACAATCCAATAAGAACTAGGTATATATTTTCAACTTTTCTTTCAACAAATTAATCTTAAAATTGGATGACATGTTGCTGTGATCTTGTTAAAATCACATTTCGTCCAGGTTAAAATCATCTAATTAATGCTCCAAAACAGTAGTAATCATCTCATTGTTGTGTTCTCCATTGACAGTAACTGTGATGTTATTTTTACGTTTAAGACAATAGGGTCTAATTATACATCCATATCATTAATCACAACAGGACTTTTGGTTTCTATGAATATAAACTTATTTTATGGCCAATATATAGGTTTTCTTTAGTTCTAATGTTATAATTTTTTTATTCATGATAACATTTATAGATGCAAACATAATTTTTAAATGAAATAATAAATCCATTTTAAGTTTCTTTAAAACACATTTTATACGTCATTAATGGGAATTTAATTCAAGGTTCTTAGTTAGTTCAGGACGTCTTAGGTACGTGTCAAAATACAAATCTTTTTGATTAATACTCCATGTGGTGGAACTAGAAAACTCGGGTCTAAATACCTGTTTTTGAGTTTCACAGAATTGAAACCCTTTCATCATTTTTGTACCTTGTGTAAGTGGGCATCCATGTTGATTTGCCAAATAATACAGAATATTTATATCAAAAATATTATATTTACCGGTAGGAATCGGTAAAAATAGCCGATACGTCGTTTAAAGATATATATAACTCGGATTGGATAACTTTGCACATTCTAATAGAAGTGTAGCTTCTTTGTCACAGCTGTTGGAATTCCAATTCGGGATTATGATTTTTAATCTATATGTAAGCTGTGTCTAACCTTATGCTTTTAATGAAATTCAAAAAGATTTTAGGGTTCATTGTGTGTATCTTTCTGGTTTATAGAGCGTTAACTGAAGTTTTAGGCATTACTTTCAGCAGAAGTATCACAATTCGTTAGCAAAGAATAAGGTGTTTGGTGCAATAATTGTTATTGGAAAAGCTGTTTATGAAAGATGTTAATTAGACTTTAAATTGAAAAGTTAGGAATGAGAATTTGGAATTTTTTAGGACGTGATTTTTATAAAATTTTTGTTTCATTGTTATATTCTGCATACATCTCCTTCATATTTTAAGTAGTTTCACAGAATGTTTCCTCAACAAGGCGATTAAACATCAATATGATAATTTTAGAACTTTTCTCAATTATTTTTTTTAATAACCACGATGTAAACTAGTTTAATTGTAGTTGTCGAGTTCATCTATATATGTTTAACATTCGCACGAAGTTTTGAAATTTCAGAGCTAGTTTCAAACTGGAGAGTAAAGCTAAAGAGATTATTATCACAACCCTTATAATTATATGGTTTGGATGTGTAGACAGAATGGGTAGATATCGTCTAATCTATCTCTGTGTAAAATGATGAGACCACACTTTAACTATATTATTTTGGACTCAGTGGTCTAAAATTATACTCGTAGTATAGTAACACTCTCACCATGTGCAATAGAACGGTATTTCGTTGCATTTTCGCTTTCGTTCGACCTATTTATAAATGAGTATATGTTTTTATATATCCTATAATATTTATGAAACATTTAACAAAATAATTAACAGAATACAAACTACATCACTTAATGTGAATAGCTATTAACAAATTGAACACTATCGGTGTGTTACTTTTGAGAATACTAATAAACCCTAACTTTATGATGGCTTTAGGAAGCATTTTGTTATTGCTAATTACTTTAATGACGGTAATGGAGACAAAAAGCTGTTTTTAGCGTAGTTATCGAAGCAAAAGTAGTTTTTGCTTCAATTAAATATTAATTAAAATAATTTTGGCACCTCATACTTTTCGTCAGTATAATAACATTGGTCTTGGTACATATTCTGTTCAGTATAGTTTATCAATACTGTGACTGAACAAGTTAACAGATATTTTAGCATTATTTTGTGGACACGCGGGCGTAACGTAACCTCGATAAGCAGTCAGTTCTACTATTTGCTCGTATGCAGAGATTAATGTAAGACTATTTAATTTTTTAGATATTAAGGTATATCTTCTATTGTTTATAACGTATAAACTATTTTTTGCAGTAATTTCATAATGATATACCATTACATCATTATTTTTGTATTCTTTTAAAGTCGTAAGACTTTTATGGGTATTCATAAATTTTAATGTGATACATTCAATCTTAATCTATATGAGATATTCGAGAGCTTAACATATACAGATCTTAATATATTTTTGTTATGAGAGTATAACATAGAGTGACTTTAGCTTAAGCAATTTTGGTGTTCTTAAAATATAATTTGCAACTTTACAACTCGATATCACTAGAACTAATCTATATCGACATATAGCTTAGTGGAAAAGGTAGTTCACAATATTAAATTCTACTGTTTAATACTGTTGAATTATCGAACATCAACCAGATCTATCAATCAGGTAAGTTATTTAAAGCAATACTCAAGTGTGTTCTATACACTTGGTACAGGTACGTAAATGTACCTTCATTGTTAATATACAAGATTCTCTGTCCATAATTCATTACACATTCGTACATGTTTGAAAACAGAGAAAGTCTTAAATATCGGTACCAAGTTCTCTTCTTATTTCAGTAGTTAAGATTTCATCTGCATACACCCATTGTAAGAACATATTTTAGCAATAAAATATGTCAGCATAGGTGTTTCTATACATTTATATGAAGTCATATAATTTTTCGACTGAAAAGATACTCGTACTTATCAATTGATCTTCTTGCTTGCAATCCCTTCTTATGAAGGTATTTTATTGCTAAATGCTCGCTTTTGTTTTTACCTTTCTGACCTGTTCGCCAGCTGTGCGGGTGTCGCAGACTTTTAAGTGATCAGTCGTTTTGCGGTGGAGCGGTCATAAATACACTGGATACTTGCAGCTCCAGCGGTGCTGAAATCATTGTTAAGTATTGTAACCTTTAAACTGGGAAGAAACGAGATCTCGTGCTGCGCAACTTGTTGAATTGTTAACGTTATTGATTTTCTGTGATGCTAAATTAAAATAAAATCAAACTCAGCTTCTCCATAAAATGAAAAGTTTGTGTGAAGTTTAAAGAGTAGATATTTGATGCAGAGTCACTCTAAACGAAAAACTAAATTAACTTTGAACGATCATAATTTCTGATTATATTGGAATAAAAATAATTATTAAATCAAAGCATATTTAATATACCATAAACTGATGCATAACTAAAGTTATTTTAATATGTCGTTATTGAGATATTAAGTGTTTTTCTAGATAAATTCTTATTTGACATCAATACAATTTATATTTTCATCAATTAATACAATATAAAAGCAATTTAAAAATTCCTCAAATATTATTTTTATTCTTTAGATGGCAACATTGTTAGGATATTGGTCGGTTTTATATGTTTTTCAAACAAAATTCTCGAATTATTTTAATATTTGTTTATGTATATACAAATATATATATAAAAATATATATATAATATATATATATATATATATTTATATAAAGGAATTGGATCGTTGCTTGCGTAAAATAATAAACCAATCAGGTTTACTACACTTTTACATTATAAAAACCTATAACCTTATTCAAAATAAGGGATATCTATGCTTAACAAAAAAATAGTTTGCGAAAAATAACAACAAATCTATTAGGATTTTATAGGTTTAACGGTCACCAAAATAAACTAATAATTGTCGCCGATGGAATTTACAGGTTCTACAAAGAGGAAAAGAAAATCGCGGGTCATGTAGTTAGAAGTCCTAACTGATGCATAAATGAAAAAAGATCATAGATGGATAATTAGCATTAGATGATGAACTAATCGTTTGAAGAATAAGTCGAATATTACTATTTATTGAAGATATTGGTCTTAGTGAGTCACTTTCAGATCACGAAGATGGCATAATACAGCTTGTAGCGATTAATATCCCCCATCATAATAATAAAAGTAGTATTGATATTTATTAAAACCTAAAAACATCAATTTCAATGCAAATATTGTTTATCAAAACATTAAGACTATTATCATCGATTTTACTGTTGTTTTAAATTTTAGAATGTAAAATATTATATTACATCACTCAATAAATCCCCGGTTTGGCAAAAAAGAAGAAAATTTTCTTTTAAAAATTTCACTATTTGTCGACATACATTCCTTTATAAGTAAAACGTTCTTCTACCTTTTCGATACAATTTCTTGCAAAAGTAAATGTTTTTATTAGAGCATCTTTTTGATATCTGCAAAAAGTTAGTAGTAGTTGGATGCTAGATCTGTAGAGTACGGTAGGTGGAGAAGCCATTCGAAGAGTAATTTATTCAGTTTCATCTTCGTTGTCATCGACTTATGGTTTTTTATTTTAAATTCGGTGTAAGTAAATGTGGATCCTACCATCGAACGTGATTTATGCATTCTCCAATTTTAGTGTAAAATTGTAAAAACTTTACTTTCTGTAATCTCTAAGACATCAGCTATCCTATACAACTTTTCTTTAAGGATGATTTTTGAAACTGTGAGTTTTTGACCAGAGCGATTTTAACCATTTAAACCAGAGAACGATTTGAATGAGTAATATTTGATTTTCCTGGTGCAGATATGGAGAGTCTTGTCAGTTTACTGTTTCACTGTACAGTACCTCTCGATTCTTTCGAAGATAACAAAACCACGATGCCCGAAACTGCTTTAACCTTTAACTAGTTATTAAAGTATCATTAAATTTTGACAAGAATGAGAACAGATTTGTTAGAACTACTCTTCACAAATCATATGGGCTTGTCAGTATTGTTACTATATATGTGTCAGATCGAAGAAGTGATTTTTACAAATGTAAAACCTCGTGATGAGAGATATCTTGGAGTGTAGTATGAAAGCTAAGTTTCTTCAGTTCTCTCTTTCAAATACTTAACACGGACTGACTAGGCTAACTCAGCTCTAGGGAGGACTGTTTAATGTAATTAATGTTACTTTTCATATGTAAGTAGCTTTTATTTTAATTTTGTAAGTGTTCAATTGAGTTTGTCTCTTTCCTGTTTGTTTGGCAGAGGTCGGTAGGACTCATAAAAAACGCTGAATATAAATTTATATACGTAACACTTGAATTAGGTATTTATAGAATTGTTCTCATTAATATTATGCTTGGTTTAAGCTTGCTATCCCCGATGAAGTTTACTAAATCACTTTTTACAGTAGCAGTACGTAAAATTATACAGAATTGAATTTTAATTAATTTTCCAATTATTTTCTGGTGGCCCAATTAACTCTAAAATGTTAAAACCTTGACACCAAGCAATAAAAGGCGCCAAAATATAGCGACACAGAACTGCGAGGTAGTGAGAAATAAATTAAAAAAAATTAATTTGAATAAAACAATAAAGAAAAAACCCGAATTGAAAGAACTTCAATCTTGTTTTTTTTGAAACAAATTCTAGCTAAATGAAGCCATTCCAGCTTTAACCAAGTTGCAGCAAACCGGTGCAACAATTAACACGCCAGTACAAAGATCAAGACCTACATGAGGAGAACCAGAGGAACAGAGTTACAGTAGGTGTGTATAATTAATTCGCGAAGCAATAAGCGAACTGCACATGGAGATTCGAGCTAAAAGGGCCACACTCAATTCGAGACCAAAATCGAAATGATACATTTCAACTTCCATAAATCGATATCAAAAAGTTTGCAATAATGGACACGATCAACACGGACAAACTGATTTGCATCAGACAACCGCTAAAGTTGGAAGCAAAGCCGGAATAGCAACGCTTAACCAACAATTCTTAGCACTTTAGGAGCTACTGATTGGTGGCAATGTGCGAATTAAAAGAAATGTTTCGACACTGTTGGCGGTTGAGGTGATAACAGTCTGCTCTGATCAGTTTAATCGGAATATTTAAATTATTTACAGATTAAAAAATTGGAATGAATTGCATTAAATTGATCATGCGACCGAACGTACGTTGTTCGACAATTTCATATGGAAATTAAGTGAAGTGAAGTAAAGTAAAGGCTTTATGTGTAAAGGCTTTAGCTGCATGAGGAATATCTGATAATATTGCGTAGGTGTCATTCTCAGAAAATTGCTAATGAAAATGCCACCCAAAAATCGTAGCAATGTACAAACTTTAAAATCATTGAGAGTATGTAATATGTTTTCATTTGACTTGTAAGCAATTTATAGCAGACAGAGAGAAGTTAATTCAATAGTAAAAAATGCATTATGTATCATGGATTATAAGTATGATTTTATGATAACTTTTTGCAAGTAATCAAAGTGAAAGTTTATAATCAATAGTTCATTATTCATCCACTTAAGTAATATTAGTAACAACTTAGGGAAATTAGTTAAACTAATTGTGATTCAATACTCAATGGTCTACGACGCTGAAGAAGGCTCGCAAGCACCAGATAAGTCTGAAGGAAACTGCTGTTTCAGGTCGAAATCTGAAAACAGATTTTTATGCCCAATTAATTAAGTAATAAAATTCGCAAATAAGGAATAACAAACAATGCTTTACGGGTTTGAAAATATTCTCTCCATATAACGAATGTTGCATGTAAAGTATTAAATGGTCTTGATATTATAACTATCGTTATACCAAGAGTCTATTGTATGTCAAAAAAATCTTCAAAGAATGGCCTTCTTCCATAAAAGTTTTCATTGTTAGCCGTTTAATGAACTAAATGAAAATGTTGAAATTTAAAGGATGAACTATTTTAACTTGGTACGTGAAGTAAAGGGAAAATAATCATACACAATTAGTGAGAAAATCTTTGTAATTCTACAATTGCACAAATTGATAAATTGATAGTCGGATAATATCTAGACTAGAGCTGTTGTGGAGTGAGTTGAATAATTTTGCGCCTATGTATTTGAATTTGAGTCTGGACAAGTCTGTTCAGTGGCATAGAAGGCGTTAAGTTGTTTTTTTTGAACTCTAACGTACATGGTCTAAGAGGGATGCGAATGGAAAGGCCCAAATTAGCTGCAGAATCCTTTATTCTATTGGAACTGATCATGTTTTAGAAACGATCACTTTTTGTGGATCAACTTTAAAATTATGGATTGAAAGTATATATGCAATATCGCACTTTATTTGGTATAGTGATAAGATATGATTATCGCCTAACGCCAAAAGTAATTGAGTATCAATTAGCATCTCTAACTTTCAGCAAGAAGTACTGATACGAAAGGTACTTGTTTTTTATTATATCAGAATTTATCTTCGATCTGCTAAATAATACTGTAGTGGAGTTGCAAAGATTATAAAACTGGTGTGTTCTTTATTAAAAATATTTCCTTTTGTTGTAAAGAAACTACTTCAAAATAAAAAGAAATAAATGACATAATGTGTATTTTTAGAGAGTGAAGGCCCTACTTAAAAGGGTAAATACTAACATGAGTAGCATATAAATTTTTTATTTTACTAGGTGGTATGTTACTGTGTCTTTTTTTAATGTTATTTAAAGAAGTTCTCTTCTCTACCTTCGATATAAATTTATTATTTATGATATATTTATAGATATATTACTAAAGGATAAGTGTTGACGAATCAAAAAAAATTTAGAATTATGTCATAAGTTAATCGCTCGCACCTAGTGCTTAGTAAGCAATTTGTGCGAAATGAAAAATAAATTAATTTAAGTAATTATTGTATATCTTGCACCATAAAATTAATTATGCTTGCATTTTATTTTATATAAAAGACGAAGAAACTTTAAATAAAATCAGTTATTGACTTACAATCAATGCCTCATCAATTATATATTGTTTCCCCCCACCAGTGGTAAGGAAAATTAAATATTGCTATACTGAACGTCATTGTTCAATAAGTAAACTTTTACAATAGACCGGTTTTAAAACTTACTCTTATGTTTCTGCGTACCAATATATTCCCATATATAGGTACAATATAAACTGATTAAAATATTAAAATAAACGAGTATTTTCATTTTTTATCCCAAAATTAAGTTGAAAAATTAGTATTAAGTCAGTCCCGCAATGCTAGGTCTTGTGTACTTAATATATTTGAAAAATATCCAAATAACTGTCAAACGTTTTAATGTCAACTCGTTTTCCTTTTTGTTTACTTTTAGCTTGTTTATCCTTTGTCAAAGGATACAAGCCAAGTAAACTTTACTTTATGTAGTTGACGTAAAATTTGCTAGACAAAGCTAATCTGACATGTTAACAAGCATATTTTTTATCTGCTTTACGGATTTATAATCCCACAAAAGGCTATGATATGTTTGCTAAAATATCCTTTGCAAAAGATATTAAAAAGAATGCCACACATGAGCTTTGTGTGCTTTGTAGTATTGCCTTTAATATGAACTTTTAATTATTCTGATTAATTTTTTATATTTTTTATACTGCAGTATAAAATTAAAGTTTTGTATATCTCTGGGATAGTTCCGAACAGAGGCGAGGCGTCGAATGGTTCAGAGTGTTCACTGAACACCTTAACAAAGCTTCCTTTTTAGATCTATTTTCTATTAGGTAAATAATTTCGCTATTTTGCTACTTAACATTGTTTATAATACCTTTTCCAAACAGATTAACATAAACACAAAACGTACAATACAAACAAAATCACACATACATATGTAAGTTACACCCAACATTACTTATAATTAATAAAAGAGAAAACACATTCCTATTAAAATATACTAAGATTCAGAATAAAAACTGCACCGCGCTGCTTACAAAGCATGCAAATGAAATAACATTCACATTGGGACTATGTTCAATATTGAGTAAACACAAAACATACAAACAAATATAAAAATAAAAGAGAAAACAAGTCCCGTAAAATATGTACGTAAAATAATCATAACTCTTAAATTAATGCGTGCAAGCGGTTCAATAAAAAAAGTGAACCTCCAATGTTATGCAAAGTAAATACAAAAGAGAAAAAAATAACTGAGTTAAAATCGCTTTACATTCGACGAGAGGTTCAGTCGACTAAATTGAACCGCAAGTTCATACAAAGCGTGCAAATATAATCAAAGTCACGGTTGCCGTTTTATATGGGCAGATGGTTCAGTAAAAAAAATGAACCGCGCATAGTAAATATAAAGTAAAAGAGTAAATGAATACATGAGAGTTTCTTACTCTTATGTAGAGATTGGAAATAAACCAAAAACAAAGTCATTATTGCAATTTTATGCTAGTATAAAATAAAATGGCAAAAGTAAAGAAAAAAATTAAAGAAATTTGAAGTGAAAAATAATATTTAGAAATGGATAAATGTGTGATTAAAGATTTGATTCAAATATCTTTTTTTAAACGATCTTCTGAAAAAATGGTTTTAATTCATAAAATGAATAGACCAACTCCAGATATAAAGAATTTGGTACCTGATATAAAAATGTCGAAATCTGTGGTAAGTCGCCGTTTTTCTACAGCTATTTACCATAAAAACCAGTGGATCATAGGCTGCGAACATTTAAATAAATTGTTTTGTTGGTCTTTTACGCTATTTGCTTGTGGAAAGGACAAAACTTAGGAGTAGGGGGAATACGTTATAGTCGGAATTCTGTTTTGATCAAATTGTGAACACCTTGCCAAAAAGCTGACGCCTCGCTACTGGTTCCGATAATCAACTGCAGTATAGCTAAAAATGAAGTGACTAGAAAAAGAAATAGAACTTGCTATATGATAATATATAATATAATATATACATTATAAATGTATAATGTATAAATATATGCATTGTTAAATAAAAAAGTCTCAAAAAAAAATATGTTCCAAAATTGTCGGTTAATTTGCAAGCTATATCTAAATTTCACCTGATCAACCCCATTTTTATTGCACAGGTTTACAGGTTCTTGAATTATTCTCAAGTTCGATATTTAAAGCACACACCAAAAAAAAAAGCTTTTTTCTGAAAATAGGCAGTTTGAATAGGCAGTTTATATGATGTATACATTTAAGTCTTAAACGATATGAATAAAATTTTGAATATTCGTTTATATACATATAAGATAGTACAAGGCCATAACACCATTAAGTAACTTATCTTTCACAGGCAGCTATGATGACATCAACAATGTCTTCGAGTAGAAGTGTTGAGAGTTATATCAACAGATATCCTCTTTACCTAATATAATCGATTTAGTGTTATAGCAAAAGTACTTTCCTGGTTTAGTCAGGAAATTGTGCATTTAGTATAGTTTTCTATCACTTTAAAGTTATTGTTTAACTGGTAAATCATTAGTAATAAGGTTGCTAATTTAGTCCAAGTAAAACCTTAATACTACACATCAAAATATTCATCACTTATTTTATTATAAAGCGTTTAGGCTTTAGTCTACAGTAATTACTACTTGGTATTTATGCTATTATTTACGGTTTAATACCGTAAATATACACGTGCAATCGAAATTAAATGTTTAAAATTAGTTTAACCGATTTAATTCGTATTGGCTATGCTTGATTATTTGTTGTTGTTATTACCAACAAATTCAGTACGGAATTTTAAATTATTTGTTATATATTTAAACTAAATAAATATTAAAATGTTTGTTCAAATTAAACATAATTCATTCTAAAATAAAACTTTGATAAAATATTTTCAGTGTTTTTGTTATTATTTTGACCGTAAAAACGGTCTCAAATTTTGTTCTGGATCCATGGGAAGGAGAGGCGAAAACACCAATACCATTTATAGTATCACTTGATCAAATTAAAAAAGATATATGGAAGCATCATTGTACCGGTTCTATAATACATACACATGTTGTTCTAACGGCAGCACATTGTTTCATTGAATATAAACTTCCTACTGACTTTACCATATTTTCTGGGTCTAATGTATGGAATGTAGACGGAGAACGTCGTGAAGTTGCTGATATAAAAGTAAATGAAAATTATGTCTTCGGAGAATTATTTGGCAATGATATAGCTTTGGTAAAAGTCAAGGTGGGATTTAAGTTTGATAATATAAGAACCAGCAAAATTGCATTAAATGGTTTTGCAAGAATTGGAGAGAATGTGAAGACGTACTTATTAGGTTGGGGATACACCAAGGAATTGGAGGTGATGCCATTTAAAACTCAGAAGAATATGGATTGTCGAGATATACTTTATTTTGATTCAATAACTTATACTGATATGTGTGCATGGAGTATGGGCAAACGTGGTGGTTGTCATGTAAGGATCAATAATAACATGATAAATTATTTTTTAATAATTACAAATCCATATAATTTTTAATATAATTATGTTAGGGTGACTCAGGCGGACCATTGGTTAATGCTGACCTTAACACCCAAATTGGGTTATTATCTTATACTGTGGGATCTTGTTTTTCAAATCGGCCATATGCATTTACGCGAGTGTATTTATTCATAGACTGGATAGAAGAGAACATATATAAAATGATGAACAGTAATGATATGTGATGTTGTTTTTAAACTGATATAAAATATACGATTTACTAAACCAGATAAAAACTTTATAAGAAAATATTTAAAAACGGTTTAAGAATTTCAATTGTTCTTTGTGTTTATTTTATAATTTTAGCTAACTTAACAAATATATTTTTAAAAAAAATGCTTAATGAAAGGTCCTGATCTAAATATATTTAAGATCATTAAAAAATGATATGGATAAACACAATATGATGTCTCAGAAATGTTTGCTGAAATGAATGCGATTGAATGTTCTAATAAATATAACTTACACATTTTAAAAAGCATTTATTTATCTTCTAGCAGAAGATCTATAAGATCTACGGTTGTATGTTCCACCTAGAAATAGAAGGATGAAATATATATGTAATATATAAAAGCTCTATAAGTTCAATAGAATTCAATAGTTTGTTGAAAGAAATATTTTTCGGATGTCTATATTTACTTATCGAAATATTGGTACAAATTATGTAAGTAAAAAATCACCAAAAAAGATATATATTAACAGTTCATTGAAATATGCTTTCTCTTTTAATTTAATTTAAAATAAAATTTTGTAGATAAACATTTTTTTTAAATAAGTAACCATTTCTCTGTTCAAAAATAGATATCTTATCATTACGGCACTAAATTATTTTAAAAGGTCATTTGTATAAAATAACTATATCCAACTATATCCATTCATTCCATTCAAATAATTTTTAGAACTTGAGTTTGTGTTGGAACGAAGTCATTTTTGAACAAGAGTTTTTGTGGAAAACTCAATGAAAATGATTTGTCGAATTTTACACTAATTTGATATTGCATGGCTTAAATTAACTCTTCGAGAAGGGTATTTCCATATCAACCTATGGTCAAATAAACAAATTCTTTTAAGTTATATCTCAACCAAGCTAACATATGAAAAACATGTGGAGAAATAGTCAGTCGTCTAATTTAAAGGTGACAAAACATATTTTGATTGATTTATAATTTTTTTGTATACTATATATTATATCAGGATTCCGATATATATAATTAATATATTTGCACTGAAAACCTATATGTTAAAGTTAATAAAAAGTCGTATGGATTATTCATCGAGTTAATGTTCTTAAGATATCATGAATGTCTATTGTAAAAACTATTACATTGATATAAAAAGTTTAAAAACCGAACATTCATTTTGAAATTCGGAAAAACGTGTCGATTGATGGCTCAGTATTTACTGGGAAAAGTAGCAATATATAATTGTATAGTACTGATTTAACAATTGGTTGAGAGTTTATAGAATCGGTCAAGCTTACTTAAAAAAAGAATCCAGCTAAAAGATGTACTGTACATTATACATGAGTAAAAGCCACGATATTTTATTGATTGTAAAATAAAAACAAAAATCATATAGATACAGAGTTCTGTAAGCTCTGCTTACACATATCACATATAATAATCACATATAGTTCACGATATTGGAACAGTTCTCTCTCAGTTGATTAAAACACATATTTAAGCACATTCTTTATATAAGGGTCTATAGATAAGTGTCCACCTTCCATATTCGTAATATCACTAATGCCTTAAATAGTTTTATATGGATCTACCTTTGCAACTTTGGGAGTGGAATGGAAATCTGGATTCAATTAAAATGCATTACGCAGATCTTAGATCAATCACTGAATAATCATGAAGCTTATAGGCAATACATAAATTAGTCAATAAGATGGGTGGGACCCTGTAGTACCCCCAGCTATCAAAGAGTAAAAGTGCCCAGTTGCGCTGACTTGAAAAAAGGATTAACATACATACTACTCTGTTATAAATAAATCTATTTAGTTTTTTATTTCATATATTTTTAACAATATTATGCTATAATCCAATCATTTATTTTATTAGTCGAAACGAATAGCAAAAATAAGTAATGTAACTAACCGCAAAAATATTCAATACTAAGTAAAAGAGTCGGTAGATAGTACATTAATCAGAAAAAAGTATCGAATGCTGAAAGTATTTGGTACTGAATTATTAAAGCTTTTGCAAAAAATATGAAACCATACAGAAAAATGAAAATTTATAATCAAAATCTCCATAGCATCCATAAGCACAGTCAGGACATTAGATAGGGTCGTGGAACAAATGGAATATATTGTTATTCCAAATGAAATTTCAATAAATAGTGCCACCCATTATCTATTGTTACATCATTTACTTAATGAAGATCATTGTATTATAATTAGAAATCTGTTTGAATTGCTGAATAGACTGCCTATGCATTAAACCCTTTGTGTGATATGTTCCGTCCCTGGTGTTATCAACAGTCGTCCATATCATATTATATAATATTGCAAAACTATAATTGTTTTAAGATGTTTTTTCTTCCATTCTGTTTCATGGTTTGGTGAAATATTTTCATGCTACGTTATCTTTGCTATAATGTTTATCACAGTATAGTTTTGATGATATAAGTTTGGTAAAATGGCATGCATATTTTTTATATAATATGAAGATATATAAAAAGTTCATGAATCAAATACACTTCTTGTGATTCATATATTATGGATTGATTTTCCATTCTTTGGGTTAGATACCTTTAATAAATGAGTTTTTCATAATTTAAAGCTTTTGCATATATAGTTAAAGTTTTTCTACAATATATATACGTGCCAATTAATCAGTGCAATTATCTACGACTGTAACCGCGAAAATGGGCATTATCCATGCCTTACAACATCGACAATATTTAACAAATTTAAAAAAAAAGAAAGGTTAGTATGATAAAAATATTGACCCAGACTTCAAGAAGGCACAATACGCGAACTCCTTCACTTTGTATAACACATTATGGAGACGCGTCGTAGATTGCTGTGGAGTAAACTTGTATTTGCAATATTCTCACTTTTTATTACGCATTTCAGTATTATACCAGCTTTTAAGTTAGATGGTGTCGCAAAAACACCAGTCCCGTTTGTGGGTTCCTTGCAACGCATGGAAGACAACAGCTGGCATCATTACTGTACTGTCTCAATTATTGACGAACGTTTTGTACTGAGCGCAGCACATTGTTTTCTCAAAAGTAAAGATGTTACAGACTACACAGTAGTTGTAGGTACCAATGAAATGGACTTGATCGATGGTGACCGTCATAATGTTGTAGATCTTATGTGGCACGAATATTATTACTTTGGTGAACTGTTTGGAAATGATATAGCAGTGTTAAAAGTTGAGCCAATGTTTCAACTTAATGGAAAAACTATTGATAAAATCAGTACCAATCTGGATGAAGAAGTTCCAAAAGATATTAAAAGTTATTTATTAGCATGGGTGCAAGAAAAGCATCTGCAATTTTTACCGTTTCGTACACAAGAAAATATAGAGTGCATGTTAGATGGTTTTATATATTTAACGAGTTCGGAAATGTGTGCACTAAGCGTGGGTGTTACTGGTGCCTGTGATGTGAGTTCCATTGAAAATATGTTAACAAAGCAAAATAAGATAACCAAATTTATTTTTAAACCAATAGGGTGATTCTGGTGGCCCTTTAGTTAGTACTGATTTAAGTCAACAATTGGGCTTATTATCATATGGGAAGGGTACCAGTTGTAAAACTGGTAGGCCATACGTCTTCACTAGGATATATAAGCAAAAAGACTGGATAATTAGTGCGATGTATAATATGACGAAAGATGAAGAAAATGATATCGAAAGTTTTGTTAAAACTTGATAAAAAACACAAAGCGCCAAGTTTAATGATTTAATAGTTTAATGAATTAAATTTAATTACATTTGCGAAAAACTTTTGAAAAGTTAAGCCAGTATCCAAGTATGAATATAGTAAAAATATTTATACAATAATGAAGAATATGTAAATAACAAAAACTGATTATAATTAATAATTCAAATGTGAAGGATTGTTATAATTCTTATAGTGTGTTTGATAAAAATTTTCCTGGAATTCCCAAAAACTATAACAAGTAACAAATTTGGGACTTATCGATTAATAATAAAAGTAAGAAGAAAAGAATATAAGAGTTGGTGAACTTATTAACTTCTTGTTTGTTTTATTAAATTAAAAACTATTAAAACAGCCTTTAAAACTATTAAGTGCCTTCAGTAAATGTGGACTTATTTTTTATAGTATATAATAGCTCCCATTGTAGCAACTAGTTCAATGCGACCATCGGCATATATATTCGAAAATAGTAATATTCGTTCGTAATTCACACAACGTTCGAGAAAACTCTGAAACCTAATATTTTCTTGTTGTCTCGAGTCTAAGTAGATTTATTTTTTCATACCTTTTATATTCATGACAGAAACTATGAAAATTGTTGTATTTTTAAAATAGTCCTGAGTAATGATACTATGTATAAGGAGAAGAAGCTCTGATGAGCGGAGAAGTCAAGTTTCAAGCTTTAGCAGTATTACTGTTACAGTTGTACCAAAGCAGATAAGAACAGTCGTTGCAAAACATACATGAATTATATATATGTATCACTTCATTGTCTTTCGGATCAGATAAAATACCCCTGAAAATTTTTCTAGTAATTAAATAGAAAAATATTTGTATACACACTATAAATTAAGGTAAGTATTTAAGAAGTTTACTATTTAGTTTTGCACTACTCTATTTGCATATTAAAAATTTAGTTTTCTTTTATGTATGGGTTTAGTCAAAGGATGCAATGCATAACTGTGCCCCCTAAAAGTATGTCTAAAGTAATATTTTATAATGAAAATAGGCTTATAGCGAAGGTACATTATTCTGCCTATCTTAATAAAAAGTATTTTTTTAAATAAATGATGTAATAAAAGATATTGACTGAAAATTCATTATCTTTTTTAAATGGCATAACTTTTTTATCTTCAGTTTCAATAATGATAAATTTTTAAATGCTAAATATTCTCAAGACCCCAGTAAACTCCCTAATGTTTCAATTTTGTAGTGTTTTAACTATCATTTGGATACAGTATTGATGGAAAATGATCGATCTATCTGATAGTATAGTTTGTATAACCATAATGCACAATAAGATGAATTTTGGAATTATGTAGTAAATGACCTCTGGGGTCCAACACATTTTCAAAATTTTCTTATCTGACTGAATTATAAAAGTTGTGCAAACTATATCTGCATTTCGAAGAGTTTACTACCAAAATCATTTTCAATATTTTCAATAGTTCAAATCTTTCAAATTTGTCAGCTTCACGCTGGTGCAACATTTGCGTGTCGTAAGATCATAAGTTCTGATTGTAACAATCTGAAAATAAAAATACTGCAATGTGACTCCAGCAGAAGCGCCTTCTTGTCAACAATTAAGTAACAAGCACACGCGACCGATAAATTCAAATTAAGCGTCAAACGCATAAGATACTCGCTTTATCAGATCGTGTAGATTATAAGTCGTGTAGATTATATGTTTGAAAAAAAAATTTATGTACGAAATTATATCGGTAAGGTGACTTCTCCGGGGCTCATTTGGCAGATCATAATTTATATCCCGCTGAGTGTGCTTATGTAAATCTGTGACAAACATTTGGGACTCATGACTGCTGTTAGCGCACCTTACAGAGCAGACAAATTAAATCTAAGATTTAATGAGCAATTTGCGGATTATTTAGTTTCTATGATTTAAGCACTTTTTTTAAAGAAATGCATGCCAGAAGCTAAACGAGTTACAAATTAATATTGCATGGGAGCAAATAAGTAAATGGAAATATATATTTAAAAATAAAAAGTTGTTTAATATGTAAGTACATAGTACTGTTAAGTGGTTTGAACGAATATATCAAGAATTCATATTTAAGTTTGTTTTTCAGATGTATCCTAGACAAGTTATTTCTCTGGTCAGGTACATGGGAATCGCATGCAATGCAAATATGTTATTTCATCATGTCAACGCTTGTTAAAGTGCTTAACATAATTTTGTTTTGAATTGTAGTTGTAAAGAATAAACATCTTTTTTAATTTGAATTATAGCAGAACAAGATTTACATGTAGTGTTACACAGTATTAAAATTCCTGTCACAAATACCATCCTTTATTCAAGATCCGTGAAAATTTAGTAATAGATGGAATATACCATATTATTGTCGAAATTTTGATTGTGTTTCACTCAGATTATAAGCTTATATTGAAGATATTATACATAAATTTCTTTAGCTAATTCTTGAAAAAGATTTAAACTCCCCGAGTTAAAAACTTGATTCTATACATATTAGTAACGCTAATAATACACAGAGAAAACATGTTAGAAATATCCGTTAATTGCAAAGAATTGGAGAAATATCTCGAATCAAGCTTACAAAAAACATTAAACTCAGTAGTAAATATCTAGATTTACTACTGTTAAAAGTAAAAAAAGTTTTAAAAGTGAGCAAAATGGGTTAAAATGAAAATAATATCCGTTTTCTTAGTTTGAATTATCTGGTGATAACTGTTCCAATTCCAATCTCGAACTTAAAAAAATAATAATTTAGATTCATTACAATAATGCCGGTCAATTTATTTTATTTTCTCAACTATCTCCAGCAAACCATCAGCTCAGAACACCATCAGAACTCCGTTCTGTTAATTTTTTAGAGTAGGTCTTTGAAGGAGTTAACACTTTGTTCGAAGAAAGACAGACAGTGACACAATATATGTATAATCGTTTGCTCCATGCGTTTATATTGAAACCGATGTGATCAGATTGAAACTACATTATTAAACTAAGAATAGTCATTCTTGTGTGGCATATCATATTATGGATAATAGTGGGATTCGCATGTGGCAGGTTTATTGTATTTGTTAGTTAGTTTGATAATATGTCCATGAAAATATAGATTGCACGGTAACAACACGAATTTAAATATTAGAAAACACTTCCCTAATCCGGTAATCTAAAGCGAATTGACATTGAGAAATCATCGCTATTATACTACTTCAGGGTAGAAAATTTTTAGTAGTATGTAAAACAAATACGATATTAATACTACACGATATTAATATTATATGATATTTAATGATGTTAAATATAAATACAATCTTCTGAATAAACAGTTCAAACGAATACAATGTCAAGTCTTTATTCTCATTTTTATTTTTTTGCTTGCGCGATGTCAAAGTTATGTGCGCGCGCAAAAAATATCACTGCGTACTTTGATGTTTTTTCTAAGAGTAAAACGTATAAATTAATTTAAAATTATCACAAAAAATAAAACCGAGACAGTGACTCTTTAAAAAATTTATAAAATATAGTGCCCGACAAAATAAAATATTAACATATTTATATTGTTCTTATGTAAAAAAGCGGATTTTGGTTTTGCGGAATTACTTTGTTTTTGAAGTGGTTAATTTTGCCTCAAATTCGCACACATTTAAAAACAGCTGATAGAGACAGCAAATAAAGCTTTTAAGCTTAAATTAAATCACAAGAAAAGTGTTGTAAACAAATCTATAAAAACTAAATAAATTGTGTAATTGTGTAATTAATATAGCTAAATAACTAACAAATGCTAAATAAATAAATACGCGAAAGGACGCTAAAAATATTTATTTATAAATTTTAAGGTAAAAATTTAAATTTAAATTTATATTATTAGTATAAATATACGCGCTAAAAATAGTATTAATTTAAAAATTAATATGACTGATGCTAATACCCCACCTCCCGGTGGTGGAAATAAAGAAAAAATGATCAAACTTGAAAAAGAAAATACAGAACTTCAGAATAAAATTAAAAAGCTTGAAAATTTATATTTATTATTATCCAATGAGTTAACTGCACTGAGAAGTGAAAACGAAAAATTAAAATCTTTTAAAAACGTACCAGAAATTGCAAAATATGAAACCGATGAGGAGGAACTTGCCAGAGAAACAGACTGGATCTTAAAAAAGAAAAGACCAACTAAAAAACGTAAGGCCGAATCCTCTCCTGAAGTATCTAGTCAAAGTAGACCTACTGTTAAAACAAATACTTGCCAAAAAGGACAAGCTGCCCCTAATAAAATTGCTCGACCTCCTCCTATTGTTATCAATGGCATAAATGATTTTAAAAAATTACATGCACAACTTATTGCAACTATAAAAAACAAGTTTTTTGTGAGACTTATAAATAATGGTTCATATAGAGTATCAATTTTTGACTCTTTTGACTATAGATCTGTCACAAAACTATTAAGTCACGAAAATATTTCCTGGTTCAGCTACGAAGACAAGCAAACTAGGCCAATAAAAGTTATTGTAAAAAATCTTCACCATTCGTGTGATCAAGAATCGATTATAAATGACTTAAACAACCAAGGTTTAAAAGCAATCGGTGCGATAAACAAACTCAAATGGAAGACTAAAGAACCGCTTTATATGTTCCTTTTGTCATTTGACTCAACCGAAGATGTGAAGAAAATCTATGAGATAAAAAGTATTCTTAACACAATTGTAAAGATTGAACCCATCAAACCGTCAAACTTAATTCCTCAATGTAAAAAATGTCAATCGTTCGGTCACACAAAAAATTTCTGTGGAAAACCTCCACGTTGTGTAAAATGCGCCGGCAAACATTTAACTTTGGAGTGCCAAAAGACAGTGTCCGATAAGCCTAAATGCTGCAACTGTGGCGAACCGCATCCAGCGAACTATCGTGGTTGTATAGTCGCTAAAGAATTACAAAAAATAAAATTAAAAAACAAAGCTGACAAAACTAAGGCTGACGAAAATAATCAAGTTGCTGTAACAAAAAGTAAATCCAAAATTAC